ACGTCACAACCCAATGACGTATGTCAACCAAAAAAGTTACAAATACTTGATTTTTTTCCGTTATTAGAGGCAATATAAATTTAAAACTTTGTGAATGTGTTTTTTATGTTATGAGGAACATATTTAGATGATAAGTAAAAAATCGCGGATTTTCCCTTTAACATTCTACTAAATGATTTTTTTAGATTTTGACGTCCTAGAAAAAAATGTATTTTGAGATGAAAGTATTTCACCCAAAATCATCTGAGGGTGACAAATGGTTGTTTGCTGTTCATATTTATATACTATTTGTTGTGCACGAATTTCATTACAAATAAATTGTAATCGAAATGTGTTGAAGAAAGATGTGTGCTGTAAAAGTTGAACAATATTTACGACTTGACCTAAAATAAAAAGTTAGGTCATATCTATTGTTAGAAATGTCTTCTCAAGAAACGAGTTTCAGAGTGTTTCAGTAATACTGGAAATTCATATGATAAAAAAGATAATTTTTAAGATAATTTTTGATATTTGTATTTATTCGTTGATATTCAGACTAGCCTCAGCTTATTCCGTTTCCTTTCCTTTTGTTCTGTTTTTTTCATTCCGTTTTTATTTCGTTCCGCACTTTATATATACCCGTAGCTGACATTGTTATCAGGCATCATATTTCATTTTTATGAAAAACATAGCTTCATATTTTTTTACCTTTGCTATAGTGTTTGCACTTCACTTAGCTTACAACAGAGGAAATGTCTGAAAATTACGTATGAAAACTATTTATAAGAGTATATTGCTCTACGGAGTCAAATAATGGAAGAAGACTGTGTATTCATTATAGAACAGAAATCTGATATCCTTAACAATCAAAGTTTGAATTGTTATGTATTTGATATAATTAACTTCAATAGTTTTAATATATGAGCCGCTGTTGCGTAAAGGTGTAAACAATGTCTTTCTTAGTGATCGCCAATTGTTTTTGAAAAATTATTTTATTCAATAAAAATTGGTATTACTTTAAATTACATAAGATGGTCAATTCTGTCACACAAATCTTTCATTTAGAATGGAAAAGACGCTTTTTTTTGTATTTTTGTGATTGAGCAAGCGAAACAGGCATCTTACATTGCACGAGACATTGGTATATTTATCATGATTAGAAACATTTATGTTTTACCTATTTGTAAAGACATTTCATAAAACAGACAAACGTAAGTGAATGCAAAAATAATCTCATCTGATGCGTTTAAAATAGAAATATAAAAAAATTAATCCTGTTGATTGATTGTTCAGACATTAGCATAGTAGTTTTTAAACATCTATATTCCTCTGAAAAGATCCGTTAATTCATTTTAATTTGATCACCTAAAGCACACTTCTTTATAATTTTATAGAACAAGAATCTTGTGAGGTAGAGGGAGACAACAAAAACGCTAGTGGAGTTGACAAGACCTTACAATTTGCATGCCTCCCCGAAATCCAATATAAGGAAGAAATACAAATAGATCTCCCCCCAAAAAAATCGCATGTTTATGGAAATGTTGATATTTGTACAAATACTTTGAAAGACGCGACGATGGAATCACAGCAAGCTCTGATTCCTTGCCCAGCTTTGGCTATACTTCTTGTCCTTTTTGGTTTATAGCTCTTCATGTTTTTAATAAGCTTTGGATTTTTAAATATTTTGGCCTCGAGCATCACTGAAGAGACATTGATTGTCGAAATGCGCATCTGGTGCAGAAAAATTGATACCGTTTATGTTATTACTACCACTGGGTCGATGCCTCTGCTGGTGGACTGATAGTCCCCGAGGGTATCACTAGCCCAGTAACCAGTACTTCGGTACTGGCATGAAAATAAGGATTTTGTGTTATTGAAATTTGCTGTTACAAAATTTTGGAAATTATTTAAAATTAAGGATTGTATCTCCCTCATGCAAAGCTCTGATTTCTTGCCCAGCTTTGGCTATACTTTTTGTCCTTTTTGGTTTATAGCTCTTCATGTTTTTAATAAGCTTTGGAATTTCAAATATTTTGGCCTCGAGCATCACTGAAGAGACATTGATTGTCGAAATGCGCATCTGGTGCAGAAAAGTTGGTACCGTTTATGTTATTGACACAGCAAATACCATTACCACATGTATTGATTTCTCAGTATATCACTCAGGTATGATTAATTTTTTTTATTCTATTATGTGTAAGGTCAGATTTAATTTCAATTATTAATCCTAATTGATCTTACCATCGTTATTTTCAATCATAAAAATTTTACTAAATGACCCTTTTAGATTGTGACGTCATAGAAAAGCTTTATTTCAAAATAAAATAACTTCACAAAAATGATCTGACGGTAAGATGTATCTGCTTTGTGTTGTACAGGTTTTTCATTGCTACTGAAGACATCAAAGAACTCTTCGTTTCTCATGACTTTTTCGGCAGTCTGTGAATAAGCTAAAAATAAGAAAGATTAGTAAGACTATGAGCTTGGCATCTAAGGAGCATATTATTTAATAATTTCAGGGTTAATGTAAAAAAATATTTAGATGTATACTAGTATTCAAACAGTAACGTAGCTTTGCATTTATACATCCCGTGCAGAAAAACGGACACAGTCTTAAATACATGATTGTTTGTTGTTGTACTGTTACACCACTGTCCCGGGTAAGTGGAGAGTTTTGCGTCAGCAAACTAGTTAAACCACGCCACATTCTGTATGCGCCTGTTCAAAGCAAGGAGTCTGTAATTAAGTGGTTGTCGTTTGTTGCTGTATATCATATTTATTTTTCGTTTATTGTTTTGTACATAAATCCGATCGTTAGTTTTCTCGTTTGAATTGTTTTACATTTGTCATTTCGTTGCCTTTTATAGCTGACTATGCTGTATGGTTTTTGCTCATTGTAGAAGGCCATACGGTAACCTTTAGTTGTTAACTTCAATGTCATTTTTGTTTTTAATGGGGAGTTGTCTCATTGGCAATCAAACCACTTCTTCGTATTTTTGATAAACGACAAACAAAAAACAAACGCCATCTAGGTTATCGTCCTGGTGAAAATTTCAGTACTTATGATAAATGTCACAATCCAACAAACGGCAAAGCCCACACGATGGCTATATATTCAATTCTTCGATACTGTTTTTAATAAATTCCAGCATCCATTTACTGTATGCGTCTCAGACACTGTATTCTGTATTCTTGTAAATTATCATCTCAGTTGCTCTCCGTGTCGTTGTTCCGTAATCATAGTTTTGCGCGACATTATATATCTATTTTATTTTGTTTTTCGTACTAAGGTTTAACTTCTTCATACAAAGTTGGCCATACATGTAGATGGAACTTTTGTTGTTCTTTACAGCTCACTTTTGTCGAATAGCTCTTCGTGTGACTAAAAAGTTATACATCCTTGGTCTTCAGTTTTCTAAGAGTGAGTGCTCCTGATAAAGGTAAATCCAGAAAAGCTCTTCGAAAACACACAATTTTCTTTTTCATAAAGCTTTTTTTTCTTTTTAAAGGATAAAATTTCATATATTTTTTTTATTAATCACATTGGAACACTAAGTTGTATTCCTTCGATTCACAGAAAATACCTTGATCATAATACATATACAATGTACGTACATGTTGGAAAATCTAAAATTTATATGGAAGAGCTATATAAACTGAAAAAAAAGGAGGGTCGAATACATTTGATATTTTCACTCAATGTACGAATATTGTTTTTATCCTGCACTTTTGAATAAACACTTTAATGTATTATTCCTTATACTCCAAATGTGATTCCGATGATTATGTATGTGCTCAACATGCAGTAGTAAGCAATACATGTATATTCAGGACGGGAATACAGTGTATGCGACATGACTATATCTAAGTTTGCTGACAAGCTAATATGTAAACATTCACCGGATTGTCCACTGTTAGAGTTATTGAATATAGGGAATTTCAACACGACACAACTCATCGTTCGTTGTGGATAAGGGGGAACTTCTCAAAAGTGCCACACATCTTCCCGCAAAACGCAGTAACAGTTTGTCCAACTTGCTTCGGAAAGTAACACTTGATGAGACACTGGCATTCAAAATAGTAATATAATAAACATAAAATTGTGTACAACAATTTTCGTTAAGTTTACCTATGTATACACACATTCCATTGGATAGTTAGACGTAAGGAGAAATTCAAAAAAAATTTATTGTTATGTTTTTGAAACATAAATTTAATTTGTATCAATGGTTCTGAATGGATGGCAACAAGCGTAAAATCCTCTATCTATAAACTCATCATAGATACCAGGATTGAAATTTTGTATTTGTGCCAGACGCGCGTTTCGTCTACAAAAGACTTATCAGTGACGCTCGAATCAAAAAAAGTTAAAAAGGCCAAATAAAGTACGAAGTTGAAGAGCATTGAGGACCAAAAATTCCTAAAAGTTTTGCCAAATACAGCTAGGGTAATCTATTCCTGAGGTAAAAGCCTTAGTATTTCAAAAATGTAATGTTTTGTAAATAGTTAATTTATAATTATGACCATATCAATGATAATTCATGTCAACACAGAAGTGCTGACTACTGGGCTGGTGATACCCTCGGGGAATAAAAACTCCACCAACAGTGGCATCGACCCAGTGGTTGTAAATAAACTCATCTGTCTGTAACTAAGTGAAGACGACATTTTGAATTCTGGAATGTTTTGACATGTTATTTATTCAATAATAAATAAAAAAAAAACATATTTTTCACCTAGAAATTTTCCTTTTGTCTAATTTCATAACGTTCTGGGGCGTACAAGAAGACTAAAAAAGCATGGTATTTACATTTCACGCTTGAAGCATAATTATTACATCACCTTGTTAAGTTGCTACAGACGATAACATCATTTCGCGAAATTTTCGTTTAATGACATTTTACACCGACTTAATTACTGAAATAGACTGATTTGTTTGTTTTGCATTTGAATAGTGATATTCGTATTGTATTTGAAGCTTGGTCTACGTAAAACTTGGTTTTTACTGTTGCAAATATCCGTTTATCAGCTCCGCTACGAGTCTCTTTGTTATCTCAATTTGCAACATTAAAACCCACGTTTAACAAAGGCCAAGATTTAAATACAATGCCGTTATCTATTAAAAGTTGATTTAAATTGTTGAATATTTGAAAATCATTTGTCCCTTGAATTCTAACAATTCCCTTGTCAAATTTCATTAATTTCTACTTCGGAAGCCAGATCTTCATTCTCACTGTTAAATTTAGATTAAAATAATTGTAAGGCAAATGAAGACATTAAAACTAAATAATGACAAATGAATTAAATACCTGCAACTGAATTCTTTATTTGAGCGTCTTTTTAGAGAAAAAAAATAGTCAAGACGTAAACAAATATTTTCCTTACACCAAAAAAAAGAAAAATTACAAAAATGAACGGTATTTATCTTTATATAAATAAGAAGAAGAAGAAGAAGAAGAAGAAGAAGAAGAAGAAGAAGAAGAAGAAGAAGAAGAAGAAGAAGAAGAAGAAGACAATCAGGAACCTGATGAAAATGAAGTGTACTCAGATGCATCAGCAGATAATGAGATCCAACAATCTGGCTTGCCTCCCCGAAATCCAGAATTAGAAAGCGATTCAAAAAGGTAACACAACAACAAATGCAATGGATAAGAACATGTTAGAATGTCGACAAACAGATGAAACCCTTCATATATCCTTTATACATTTATCAGAATATCACTCAGGTAGTATAAATATAGATCTTTTTTTTAAGTTTAACTGAAGATTTTGTTGAATTGTATTCAATTTTTTGTTAGATATAACGATCATGATTTTCAACTATTAAAATTGCCGAAAAAGATTTCCGAAAACAAAACTTATACGTTAAAATCAAATAGAATTACAATTACGATATATAAAAAGAGGTGGAAGATACCAAAGGGATTTTCATAACTCATAAGGCAAAGGGATACTAACAACACCTTGAAAACAAAATACAAAAAGATAAACAAGTCAAAAAGTCAACAAAACACTTCACAGGAAATTAAAGACAGTGAAAAACGAACCCCTCCAAAAACCGAGGGATCTCAGAAGAATAGAGATCAAACGGTACTAATAAAACTTTAGGAAAATGTTCACATTAAAGATGATTTTCAGGACGCCATCAAATTCTTCGACATTTTCAAAATTATTGATATTGAATCAAAATCTGTATAGTTTGTCATACATTAGTGTGATGTAAAAGTAATGTTTACAGTTCCGATGAATTTCATTTATTAGCAGTAACTGAAACACAGGGGTAACCAGAGATATGGAAAATTGACAGAGAATTTATCATGTATCCCTGAAGGGAAAGCTTCAACTGATTAAAAGTGCAATTGTGAGATAAAAAAAAAGAGCGAAATTGCGGATTTACCTTGTTAAATATATATTTTGAATTCATATTTTGAAGAGATGAGAGTAATGAAGAAATAACAAGTAAATAAGATGACCAAAAAGACAAGCAACTGATGATTGATTGTTACAACGCATAAATTGGAGGATCAAGGACCTCTGTATATCTTAAAGACTCTAGTAATAATAACGTCATGCAGATGCACAGTTTGTTTCTACCCTTTATTTTATAGCCGGTTTATTCCAATTATTAACATTTTATATTTAAATGTGAATCCTATAATCATTTTAATATCGTTTTATGTGTATCCTTTACAAAAACAGCTATGTTGATAATTGTATTGTTTAAGAATATGTTTTCTTTAGTATAACCAACCATTATATCTTATCATCTGTTTGCTTTTTTTTTTTTTTTTTTATTTGACTATCAATGTCGATTCATTTTTATTGAAATAGAATATTGCCATGATAAATATTTTGGTAAATAATGAATGACATCTAGCTTTTCTTTTGATTTTCCTGCATTGCATTTTTAAATCACCTGACTGACTGTCATCGTCTTCGTCGTTGTCCGTCTTCGTCCGTTAACTTTTACAAAACATCTTCTCCTCTTGAACTACTCTGTCAATTCGAACATATAACTTCTTTTTGTCATTGTTTCTATTTTCTGGCAATTGCTCTTTCAATGCGTCTATATGATTACTTTTTATGTAGTAAGAAAATGCTACACGAACGCTCTCACCAGGTATTTTGGAGGATCAAATTATCTCTTTTCTGCGGTCCTAAAAGGGATCCTTTATCAATTCTTACAAAATCGAGCCTCTGGATTGAATCTGATATTTTCTTTTTGTAACAATTCGATATTTTATAAACTTTTTGACAGATGTCTTATTTAAAAGTTTATAAGTTCTTTTGGTGCATTGTTCAAAGTTGCAGACGCCATAAGATCAAGATAAATGTGTGTGCCATAAGGTTAATAAAGCAATCTTCGAAGGTACTCTGATAATTCTTTAGTACACCACATTGTATGTGGATCAAATTTAAAGAATCGATCATGTTAATGAAGTTGTAGGTTCAAATCAGTCAAGATTTTACTTCGTCAAAATTATCTCCCCATTACGCCAGTCAAATTTTACAATCGTAAATATGGAAACCATTAAATTTAGCTCCTACAAACCGATAAATTTATCCACATAGCACCATAACGTTCCTTATATGCCAGTTGTATTTTATCTACTAGCTATTGAGCATCATTTAATGTACTTTTCTGCATTCAGTCAACTTAAAACTATTGTCTGGTAAGTTGTCAGGTGGAATTTTCGAAAGTTCAAAAACGTTTATAAAAATTATAATTAAATATTTCGTGGAAGGGCAGACTAAAACTAATCAGAGGTTGAAGACTAATAACCGTAGATAACATACACAAAAATGACGTTTTTCTGAAGTTATACATTTTTAAGATACCTACTCTGTATTTATGACTCATTAGAAAGGTATTCACTTGACCCATATATTTCATTTTTTCAGTACTGTGAATTTTCAATGTTATCAAATCAACTGGTAGCCTAAATACATAAAAATAATAGAATCTAAAGCGCGGTGATGTATCAAATATTTTTTGCTTTATCCGTTTTCAAGACAGAGTAGTCAACTCAAACACGCCCGAACATAAAAAGGTGCACTCGACTATCTCTTTTCCATGCAATTATTGCCCATTTTGGGGATTTTTTCCCAAAAAACTATCGCCGGGGGCAGAGATGCAAATCAATGCTTTAGAAAGATCAATCTATTATCTTTCTGTGGATTTTTTTTCGGCGGAATTTATGCTTATGCACAAAAAAGATCCATTAGGATTTGACCCTGCCACAATCGACTGTTTTATGAATTTCGAACAGCGGTATACTACTGTTGCCTTTATTTATGCAAATGTGTCTATAATTTAAAAGTTTACAACTATCTCGAAGCTCCATACTATAATTCAAGTAAAAACACGTATATAAGATGCATAAAATCCTAAATTAAGCACCTTTATTAAACTTTTAAAGCCCATAGAAACCGATGTAAATAATTCAAATATACCAATGTTGCTTGTTTACCTTCTCTAACAAAGAGTTATATTTCTTTTGTTTAATTTCAACTGGGTTTCCGCCTGAAATAATAATGTGCAAATACAAAACTATGTACTATAGTAAGTACTTTTGTCGATTTATAATTTGTTCTACATTCTTGGTTAAAATGATTTAACCAATCAAACGACTGCGAAAATATCTTTGTGTGTTCTTAACTGGGAGTACAATTTCATTAATAAACTTACAAACAAGATGTGAATCAATAGCTCAAGAGATAACTATCTACCAAACTGTTGTATTATATATTTTCAGTCAAATGCACAAACGAAATTTTGTATTGAATGCGCCCATTTTTATGTTCAAATACCGATGTTGCGATCATTAATGTGTCATTAACTAAAGTTCTGAATACCAAAGTTAAAATTTGATGGATTTGAATCTTATTAATCAAAATAGATATAAATATATATAGAAAATTTGACACAGGCAAAATGTTCAGAATATTTAAATCTAAAGATCTAAAAATCCACATACTTTCTATTTTTCCCGAAAATATTCAGATTTCTCCTTATAGAAATTTTAAATATCGATCGACTCATTATGGTAATTTTCCCTTAATGTCGATATTCTTATCCACTTTAAAAATTCTGGCAATTTTCTTTATACCTATAAAAAGAGTGACTGGAAAATTTATAGATGGTAAGCAAATCTATAGTTTTCCCATTAAATGATTTTTTTTAATGAAAACGATCAGAAAAAGCGGCACATGGCAGAACGCGTCAATCTACTCCTTATACGAGTTCTGCCATGTTTTAAAAGTCTAAAGCAATTTTTGTGGTTTTTGGGGTTTAATATTTCCTTCAAAACTACAATATCCAAAGGGATACTCTATTAGATCAATTATTTTTTTTAATTAACCATTATTGTGTTAAAAGTTTAATGACTAGTTAGTTTGTTTGTTTGTCAAGTTATGTATAATTTAATTGTAATATATATAGTTTGCCCTTCAATGGGTAACGTATTGACAAATAAAATTATCTCTCTCTGTCTTACATGTATCTGCTGTTGCCTTTACATGGATATTAGCTACCAAATTCATGACCACCAAATTTACGCAAACTAATTTGATTTATAACATGCTAAAATATTTACCAGAATTACAAAAGTTCCATTAGAAAAAATTAGCATTTTTAGGCCTATGCGTCATCTAATTAACCACCGAGATGACTTTCGAAGACTGTCGATGGTCGTGGGATCCGATATACACATGTATTTATCAATAGACCCGGCAGACAATATGTGCAATAGTGTAGTGCGATTAGATGATTTTCATAGGTCTGTTATAATTATCTATATATCTGGAAAAAAAATGTAAATCATCATAATAAAAAAAAAATTGTCTGCCGAAATAATCATGGAATTGTTCTTTTGTTGCTCAGTCTTTAGTTTTCTATGTTGTGTTTTGTGTATAGTTGTTTGTCTTTTGGTCTTTATTTTTTTGTCATGGCGTTGTCATTTTTTTTTTCGACTTTTGAGTTTGAATGTCCCTTTGGTATCTTACGCCTCTCGTCTTCCTGCTGGCATTCCTGTTACAAAGGTTTGTAAAGCCAAATTGTGAAACATTTGAAGCATAAAAACAAAAGAATTCTTATCAGAAGTAACAAACAGACCAAGAGCAACGTTGCTGAAAAACATGACAACCTTTTGGTTTTAGTAAAAGTTCTATCATATAAATAATGAATTGCAAATTTACAGACACAGTCAAACAATTAAAACAAACTCATCATAGATACCAGACTTACAATTTGTTTAGCCAAACGCACATTTTATCTTCTTCAGGTTCATCATCAGTTGCGCTCGAATCAAAACAGTTGAAAAGCCAAATTTAATACGAAGCTGAAAAGCATTAAAAGCCAAAAATTCTGAAAAGTTGTGCCAAATACGACTAAGGCAATCAATGCCTGGGGAAAACCCTTAGTATTTCGAGTAATTCAACATTCTATAAACAGTAAGTTTACATAACAGAACATATCTATGATATCTCCTGTCAACACAAACGTGTGGACTATACTGGCTAGCGGTTCCCTCGGTGACGAAACGCCTACCACCAGCAGTGACATCGACCCAGTGATTGTAAAATCACATCAAAGAAGTCTTCATTAAGTACGCACGATGTAGAAATTTGGAAAGTAAAACATATAAATCGTTTAAAAGCATGCAAATATATTGAATATCAAACACTAGTTAGCTCCTCTGTATATGATACCCGTGGGTAGTATGAATAAAAGGTGTTGTTGCATATGCGTCAATAAGAAGACAACACAATGACATAGAAAGCAAATGGATATCTAGAGGTTACAACATATAAGTCAACAATCTACTGGTGTCTTTACAATTTGTGAATCATTTCACGAGAAGCAATACCGAACCATTGGTAACATAAAAAAATATTCGCATTTCTTTACGATCCTAGGTTTATCATAACGGTTTCCAATATTTTAATTATATAAGGTAATACTCATTGAATTCCTTTCTGCGCGGACTATTAATACGATCAATATATAAAGAAAATTTGAGGCGCGCTTGACCAATGAGACGTTCGTTACATCATATTTACCATCTTGATATGTCAGATTCAGAAAGCCATTCTAACCCAATCAGTCCCTGGTCAACCGAATACGACGGTTTACAAAGGAACTAATAGTATAAGGAAGCGTATATCTAAAATTTAGTAGCTGTTCAACCTCTCATTTTTATTTTTTTTAATTTAAAATTAAGAATACTGCACCATCTTAAAATCTTGAGTGATCACATAGACCCAGCATAGCTGTATCAAAAATGAGGACTGTTCCCTCAAAAGAGACTTCAAACGTTACTCAATTTTTGAATTTACTCGCCACTTTAAAATAAAGAAGATAAATAGTGAAATAAAAACTGTTCAAAAGTACAGTACAACAAAACAGTTGAAACCCATAAAGTCTGCACTGTCTTTAGACAGTGGTCATCCTAAACAAAACTACAAAACTGTAAAAAAAAATACCATTAGCGGCAAGGCTCATTCTCCCCTGTCATTTGCTCCACATTTAAGAGACATTTATTTATTTGCTTTTGTTGGTTATTTGAAGGATGTTAGCTGTGTTAAATGCTTGATTGTAGCAATTAGCCATTACTAACAGCAACCCTTACTTGGATAAAGTTAGTCATTCGCTGGTCTCTATTAGCAGCATAAGATCTTCAAAATACTTAGTCCATCTATCAGTAAAATACTGTGAAAGGAAAAAAAAGATTTTCAAAATCTTTGTTCAGATGATATCTCTTCTTCATAAAAAAATGCTCTGTCAATGATTATGAAAACTCTTTGAAACCGTGTATAGAAAAGCTTGACAAAAAGTCTTATTCATATTTTTATGTAAAATCAGGGTTTTTCCTGTAGAAAATTAATAAAAATTATATTAATAATAATAATATAATAATAATAATAAGTGAACATACGGAAAACGGGAAAATGATGTATGGGTCTTGATACTGTCTGATGGTCATCAAAAAGCTTCTGTTCAAGTTTCATAAAATTCCATGAAGGTTTGACAAAGTTATTGGTATTAAATAAAACAACTTTCAACAGATTGAAACAAAATGTTGACAAACATTCGTTCAGGGTATGTTCACTTGTTTTTGTTAATATGTCTTTTGATTGATATTTTATAGTGTGTATTTCTATGTTGTGATGTTATACTATTGCTGCAGGTAGGGTGAAGGTTGGCACCTATTAAAACGTTTAAACACGCAGCATTTGTTTGCACCTGTCCTAAGTCAGGAACCTGATGTTCAGTGGTTGTCGTTTGTTGATGTGGTTCATAAGTGTTTCTCGTTTCTCGTTCTTAATATAGATTAGACCGTTGGTTTTCCTGTTTGGATGGTTTTACGCTAGTCATTTTGGGGGCCCTTTATAGCTTGCTGTTCGGTGTGAGCCAAGGCTCCGTGTTGAAGGCCGTACTTTGACCTATAATGGTTTACTTTTACAAATTGTGACTTGGATAGAGAGTTGTCTCATTAGCACTCATACCACATCTTCTTATATCTATAAACACAGACTGTAGGATTGCTATGTCTCATTTCCTCGACATTCGTCACCAGACCAAAATGAAGGATTTGAGATCCTGAGGGTCAATTCAATAAACTCATCATAGATGCTTCTTTGAATTGAATATCATGTTTTGAATGTCATGTCCAGGTCGGTTGAAAAGTGTCCCTTTAGGTAGGTTTGTTATAATTGAAATGGTAAAATAACTGATCATTAAATCTTTTAATATCAAACAGATAAAGGAAAGACATATCAGTCTAATAAGTAGTTCCTTTAAGATCGTGGAGGGTAAATTTGTGTTGTGGTGCCAAATGAAATGAACTGTTAACATAGATATAAGTGTAGCTATTTAGCAATTTTTATAGTATGATGCAACTGCTGAATTCAAAATGCCAATACTTTTAACAATATTTTAACAGGTAAACTATGCAAAACATCATAGTCAATGAACTATGACTGAAGGTGCAGGGTCAAATAGCCTCCATGGAAATGAAAAATTCCAATGCTTACAAAACTGCATTTCAATCAATACCAAATGACAAGAGTACACATGCTGAAATTTCTCATCTGCTTTACTGATCACGATTGATCTTTTATGTTGCAAGTCTTTCAGATTATCAATAATCTACGTAAATGTTGGCATGATGAACTCTGCCTGACGGACATGTACGCCTTACAATCATTGCATACACCAAAAATAGTCAACCTATTGATGATAGAAACAGATCTAACCACGAAAACTTAACTTTGACAAATGAACCATGAAAATGAGGCCAAAGTCAGATGATATCTTTCAGACAGACGTGTACGCATTACAATCATTTCACACACCAATTACCACTGTGTAGCTTCACCGCCGGATATAGGTACCCCCGAAGCAAAGAAACAATGATAAGAAAAAGTATCTATCTATTCCTTGTAGTTAAAAACAAGAGTGTCTCGCCTGCTTTACTGACCATTGATTTTATGTTGATAGTCCTAAATATAAAGTTTTACTACAAGTATCACATAAACTTAACATGATCCAAGAAAATGAGGTCAAGGTCAGATAAAGCAAACCGGAAATACATGTACACCTTACAATCATTCCATACACCAAATATAGTTGACCTATAGCTTATAGCTTCTAAGAAAAGAACTTAACATTGACCAATGAACCATGAAAATGGGGTTAAGGTCAGGTGAACCATGCCAGACAGACATGTACACCTTTCAATCAATCTATGCATTAAATATGGTTGACATATATTGCTTATAGTATCTAAGAAACAAACTTAACCATGAAAACTTAACATTGACCAATGAACCATAAAAATGAGGTCAAGGTCAAATGATACCTGCCAGACAGACATATACACCTATCAATCGTTCCATACACCAAATATAGTTGACCTTTTGCTTATAGTTTAAGAAAACCAGACCAAAACATAACAAGAGTGCACACACTGAAATGTCTCGCCTTCTTTACTAATCATTGATATTATGTTGATAGTCCTAAATATAAAGCTTTACTACAACTATCACATACACTTGACATGATCCAAGAAAATGAGGTCAAGGTCATATAAACCAAACAAGAAATACATGTACACGTTACAATCATTCAATACACTAAATATTGTTGACCTATTGTTTATAGTTTCTAAGATACAGACTTAGCCAAGAAAACTAAACATTGACCAATGAACCATGAAAATGAGGTCAAGGTCAGATGAACCATGCCAGGCAGACATGTACAGCTTGCAATCCTTCCATACAACAAATATAGTTGACCTATTGCTTAAAGTATTAGAAAAACAGACCAAAACACAAAACTTAACACTGAGCAATGAAGTGTGAAAATGAGGTCAAGGTCAAATAAAACTTGCAAGACTGACATGTACATTATAAAATATTTCCATACACCAAATAAAGATGACCTATTGCATATAGTATTAGAAAAAAAGACCAAAACTCAAAAACTTAACTTTGACCACTGAACCATGAAAATGAGGTCAAGGTCAGAAGACACATGCCAGCTAGACATGTATACCTTACAATCATTCCATACACCAAATATAGTAGACCTATTGCATACAGTATAAGAAAAACAGACCAAAACACAAAAACTTAACTTTAACCACTGAACCATGAAAATGAGGTCAAGGTCAGATGACACCTGCCAGTTGGACATGTACACCTTACAATCATTCCATACACCAAATATAGTAGACCTATTGCTTAAAGTATCTGAGATATGGACTTGACCACGAAAACTTAACCTTGTTCACTGATCCATGAAATGAGGTCGAGGTCAAATGAAAACTTTCTGACAGGCACAAGGACCTTGCAAGGTACGCACATACTAAATATAGTTATCCTATTACTCATAATAAGAGAGAAATTAACATTACAAAAAATCATAACTTTGTTTTCAAGTAGTCACTGAACCATGAAAATGAGGTTAAGGACAATGGACATGTGACAGACGGAAACTTCATAACATAAGGCATCTATATACAAAGTATGAAGCATCCAGGTCTTCCACCTTCTAAAATATAAAGCTGTTAAATAGTTAGTTAACGCCGTCGCCATCGCCACCGCCACCAACTCTATCCCTATGTCGAGGTTTCTGCAACAGAAGTTGCAGGCTCAACAAAAAACATTCACCATAGAATTTTCCGCTTAATCTTTATGAATTACTCCGTGAAAAAAAAAAAAATTTCGAAATAGTGTTGTTCAATCTTAAATATGAACTTTGTTACGAAAACGTCAAATGAATAGTTGAAGGATAAATGTAGTCTTATGTGGTACCTGGTCCAATTCTGACAATTTGAAGAGAGAGAAAGCCAATTAAGGATCATAATAAGCCATAACTATTAGGATTCAGTATCACAAAACTGTACTTTTCAGCCAAACGCATAAAATAATGAAAAGGAGAAGAAATTGACTTTACCTGACTTCACTTTTACTTTATCCATGGCTTCGGGGGTACCTATATCAGGTGGTGTTGCTGCACAGTGATTACAATTCACCCATAGCTTTTAGTATCTGAGAAACAGGTTTAATCAGGAAACTTAACATTGGTCAATGAACCAAATATAGAGGACGTTCTGCTTCTAGTATCTGAGAAATTGCCCTAATCATATATCTTGAACACTGATCCATGAAATGAGGATGAGGTCAGGTGAACCTTGTCTGATGGACATGTAGATCTTGCAAGGATCCAATATACCAAATATAAATATCATATTACTCACGATAAGAGAGAAATTCACATGACCAAGCAGTTGCTGAACCATGAAAATGAGGTGGACAATGCACATATGACAGATGGAAACTTCATAACATAAGGCTTGTTAGGTATCTATATAAAAGGTATTAAGGTGGTACCCAACACCTTCACTAAAATTAATTTGGCTCGTTTAATTTTCATAAAATTTTGACAAAGTATTTACTTTGACCCTTTGACAAAAATATAAAAATTTCAAAAAATTTGAACCAACCAATTTATCAGAAAAATTAGACTGGTTATATAGCAGTTTGACAAACACTAACTTTGATCATTGAGAAGCTTAATATTCCCTTAACAACACAACGTAATTAAAACGTTTAGCTGATTTTACTCCCTTTTACTTGAGTTATCTCCCTGTAGTGTTAGGTACCACCTTAAGCATCCAAATCTTCTTCCATATAAAGCTTTATACAAATTAGAAACGCTGTTTCCACTTCTGCTTCATTGTAATAATCATGTCTCGCATTCTGCTACTTTCGTCTCAGGCAAGGCAAAGACTACACTGTACAAGTTTGGTGCATCAAAAGAAAATTTGTATTTACCCTCTTCAGGAGTGCTCAAACCTAAACAGTGGAGTAGGCCTGGTAAGACCCTTTTTTGGCCCAAAATATAGCATTTTTATAATTTGTAAAAAATGTAAATTTTTAGCTATTTATGGGAAAGTTGAATACTTTTGTTACATAAATGTAGGCTGTTTTTGACAATACAGTGCACATGCATCAGGTACTAGCATCATTAATTCATGCAAAATTACTGAAATCTTCCCAATTTTAGCATTTTTGACAATTTTAAGACGGTTTTTGTCTAAAATAGAAGTGGCAAAACTTGTGTTCAGTCTTTATATTTAAATATATGTTGTATTTGATGATAATACATAACATATATAAAGGTTGAGACTGAACACCAATGCAGCCACTTACATTTTAGACCAAAGAACATCTGAAAAGCGACGTTTTGTAGTATATTTGAAAGATTTTTTATATCTAATCTTGAATTTGAGCGTCTTTAATGACCAAATCATTGCAAATCTTGAACATAAACTAATTGAATAGACTGAAGTAGACACTCACGTGTTCAAAAAATGTCAAAAATCTTTGTCAGATGTACTTCAAAATTTAGGCCAAAAGTAGCCCTTACCAGACCTCCTTTGAAAAGTCGGGAACTTATAAATAGCGGATTATGTGAGAAGTTATATGACCAAAAGAAAGAACAGCTTATTTTATTTTAGGTCAACTTTGCCTGAAGGAGTGAGAACCTCAGTTTCTTAATAATTTCACTCAATCCAGAGGGAGTTCAAATTTCCCACCCTTCATACCAGTCAACCTACTACATGAATGCAGTCTCAGCCTAACTATTGTTCAAATTTTTTCAGTCCTTAATTACTATATGCATGAAATATCTGCAACTGGGCATGAAGCAAATAACCAGCCATTGATCAATGTTTTGAGAAAAAAGCAAACCAGTTTAGGAATGAAAACAAAATGATTTTGTACATGTTTTAATACAATGTTATCTCATATTTGTACAAGTATCATGAATGTGAAATATATTATATATACATATTATAAAATCATACTTAATTACTTTAATTATGCTGTAGCTCGTTAATAAACACTCAATAAGGCAGTAACACGATAAGTCACATTTTGAGTTATCTTTCCTGCAAAAAATGTGAAAGCAGTTATCTCCCCATGAAAAAAAAAACATGATTGCTAGTTTATATTTTTCAAGAAACTGCAGTAGAATCGGATTTGTCATGATAATTCAAATGGAGGTAAAACTAAACATCAATAACAAGTCTTAAAATCAGGTTTACTTAGACATACACATTTTGGAATGACTATTTTAATCATGTCCTTTTTCAGGTGACAAAGACAAACTGACACAGTGAAACTAATGTATTGTGTTTAAATATATTTTTCCATTCTTACGAAAAAAAATTATGGATTAAATGCATTTTTCGAAAAACATAATGGAAATATAAATCTGTTTCAACATATATTATTTTAACTATTGTCTTTTATAATCAATTTTCAATAGAAAAAGCAAAAATATAATACAAGGTTTTTTATTTTTAAGAAATAAGATATATATAATATTTTGGCATAAAAAGTTTTGAAAGTTGTTCGCTGTACGAGATGTTAAAACTATGCATAAACCTCTTAAAACTGTTAATCAAAAGTAACAAATAGATATAGATGACATAACAATATATGTACAGTCGGAAAATAGAAATTTTATTTTTAAGAGCTTAAGAAACAGGACGCAAAGCCAAGCTCTCTGATCTTTTCTCTTGTTTTGTAGTCCGGACAAATAAATCTTAATTTCTGCTAATGTACCTATTTTGTTTTTTATCCTGCAATATACACCCGGCACTTTAAGGTTTAGTTGTGTAAATTAAAAAAAGTTTTCAAAGAAATCGACATAGTTTAAACGCGGACCACCAAGAGGACCCCAAAATGAACTGTAACACAAAAAGAAATATTCATATTACTGATTGCTCAATAGGGAAGCAGAGTAGCAGGAAACTTTATATGTACAAATAAATCAAAAAAAATTGTGAACCTGTTATTTGTACAATACTTGGCTGATTGCAAGGTAAAAGGAAATTTGCTTCACACACAACCAGTCTCTTCAATAACCATTTATAGTTTCTTTGAAAGGATGCACAAAATTTTAAAAAGTTTTTTTTTTTCATTTGGTAGAATTTTTACTGAACTTCAAATAAGAATTACTTTTTAACTTAGATATACTTTTACAGCCATATTTAAGACAGTTATTTCTTCCTTAGATGGCCAGCATCTAAATTTTTTTACTATTCAAACACAATTTCACCTGAAAATATTTATATATAAATATAAATAAATAAGTGTTCATTTATGTAAATTGTAAAAGCTAAATCTTTAGTCACAACTTCCATAATATCACTAATGAAGAAAGTTTTGCAGAGATGCACCAACATATGTCTTTTCTACAAGATATATTCTATTTACTGACTTGTAATTACCATTGCCTGTTGCCCAGGAAAACAATGAGACGGTAAAAAGTGAAAACACATTTTAATTTTCCCATAGGCAAGTGATTTATTTTACGTTTTTTTTAGTTCAAAATGTAAGGGTAAGCCCTATCATTACAAGGCAAGCAAGCGAATGGCAAAGCTCTCCTTTTGGAAAGTGGATTTTGAAAAAATTAGATCCCTGAAAATACTTAAGTCCTTCTTTTTATAAGTAAAAACAAATGCTACTATAATAAGAGTAACCAAATGCTACCATGAGTAATATCTTTAACCTATTTCCTTGCTACAAATTCATATAATATATAATTTTTCAACATATTTTCCCCTCAACATAATCATTGATTTTCTAATCAATTACTTTCAAACTGCCTTATGGGTTCTCTTTCTTCACCAATTTCCAATTATTTTTTTTCAATATCAAAAACTTTGCAAATTAATGAAGCAAATAAACAATTTTGCACCGTTTCCTTTTAATACAGTTTGTTGCACCATCTGGTGGCCATAAAAATTTTCTGCACTAATAATTGTATGTATCATCACTGCTTCTCTCCCCTTTTATTTAATACATCTTTCAAATTGCTAATTACGGCTTTTTGGCTCACTTCGTCTTCTAGTGAGTTAAATGACCTTAAACCGTTGACAATGTCCTGTGTTTTACCAAAATAAATCTCATTCAATGTGTTCCTAATTTTGTTCTCCATCTCCTATAAAGTAAAACAAACAGACATTATTAGCAAATCATGACTTCAAACAATGGCTTCCTTTCACATTGAGAGAATAAATTGGCATTTATCTTTCATGTTGATACATATGCTAGTTTAATTTTCTACATTGAAATTGTTCATTTTAAATGGTTTCCTTTGCATTGTCTGTTGACAATGGCTTTTGATTTTTGACCTTAATCAGAGATGGGTCCGATTACTTTCAATGTAATTGATTAAATTACAATTTAGCAATTGGCAATTGTACGATTAAATTAAATTAACGATTACACCATTTCTCAATGTGTCTGATTAAAATTAATGATTACATTGGCAAAGTAATCATGATTACATCTGATTACAATGAATTTAAATTAACCAATTTGAAAGATGTAAATGAATAAAGGTTATTATAACAAGAAATGATTGTAACAGGATGCTGTTACGAAGTCTCCCAAACGAAGCTCCCATAATTCGTAATTCCCAGGGTCGCCTGACACTGGGCAACGTCCAGTGAAAATTGGTTTTGTCCAGTAAAGTTATATGCATTAGTGATGCCTGGGGACTAACCTTGTATATCATTCAAATCATCTTGGCATGACAAACCAGAATATATATGGTTTGAGGGTGGGGATCTCGACCATTTACAAAATACTAGAACATTGGGGGTGGGGAGGAACCCCTGGGGACTGACCCTTTACGTCATTCAAATGTTCATAACATGACGAACAGGAATATATATGGTTTAGGGGTGGGGATCTCAACCATTTACAAGATATTAGAACATTGGGGGTGGGGGGAACCCCTGGGGACTGACCGTATACGTCATTCAAATGTTCGAGACATAACAAATAGGAATATATATGGTTTAGGGGTAGGGATCTCAACCATTTACAAGATATTAGAACTTTCTCAAATGGCAGGGGGTCGGCATGATCCCTGGGGACTAACCCTGTATATCATTCAAACCATCTTCGCATGACAAACCAGAATATATATGGTTTAGGGGTGGGGATCTTGACCACTTAGAAGATATTAGAACTTTCTTAAATGGCAGGGGGTGGGGGTGACCCCTGGGGACTAACCCTGTATTTCATTTGATGTGCTTTATCATGACAAACCAGAATATATATGGTTTAGGGGTGGGGATCTCGACCATTTACAAGATATTAGAACTTTCTCAAATGGCAGGGGGTCAGGATGACCCCTGGGGACTAACCCTGTATATCATTCAAACCATCTTAGCATGACAAACCAGAATATATATGGTTTAGGGGTGGGGATCTTGATCACTTACAAGATATTAGAACTTTCTTAAATGGCAGGGGGTGGGGGTGACCCCTGGGGACTAACCCTGTATTTCATTTGATGTGCTTTATCATGACAAACCAGAATATATTTGGTTTAGGGGTGGGGATCTCGACCATTTACAAGATATTAGAACTTTCTCAAATGGCAGGGGGTCGGGATGACCCCTGGGGACTAACCCTGTATATCATTCAAACCATCTTAGCATCACAAACCAAAATATATATGGTTTAGGGGTGGGGATCTTGACCACTTACAAGGTATTAGAACTTTCTTAAATGGCAGGGGGTGGGGGTGGCCCCTGGGGACTAACCCTGTATTTCATTTAATGGGCTTTATCATTTAGAACATTTTCAATTAAAAAGATTGTGTCTATCACAAACGGTTTTCAAATTATAATCATTTGAAAATTTTAAAAAATAAAATCCCATAGGGTTCTATAGTAAAACCCTCTTTTCTATTTGCCCCTCAAAGTACCCCTTTATAAACCCCATTGCACAAACAAAACCCTGATTGCACCACTAGACATGTTAGTCTAACATATTGTGAAACCCTAAGTTAATCTGACAAGCGGTTTTGGAGAACGGGTGCGGACAATTTCAAATTTAAAAGCGGCGGAAGAGGAAGAAGAAGAAGAAGAAGAAGAAGAATAATAATAATAAGAACTGAGCAAAAACAATAAGTCTTCCCAAACTTCGTTTGGGAGACTTAATAAAAATAAATGGGCAGGTGGAAATAACTACTTCAATTGATTTGATTGGACGAGAGTCGACTGCCCACAGAGGGCAGGTGGAAATAAATACTTCAATTAATTTGATTGGACAAGAGTCGACTGCCCATAGAGGGCAGGTTGAAATAACAAATACTTCAATTAATTTGATTGGACGAGAGTCGACTGCCAACAGAGGGCAGGTGGAAATAACAAATACTTCAATTGATTTCATTGGACGAGAGTCGACTGCCCATAGAAGGCAGGTGGAAATAACAAATAATTCAATTAATTTGATTGGACGAGAGTCGACTGCCCATAGAGAGCAGGTGGAAATAACAAATACTCTAATTAATTTGATTGAAGGAGAGTCAAATGCAGAAGGAAATAACAAATACAGTCGACTCTCATTATCTGGAGGTCAATCAGACCAGAGAAATATTTAAAGATCCCCGTAATTCGACTCAAGAGAATACTGGAAGATTGACAGACCAAGGGATACAACTCTTGCATAGCTTGGTAAGGCTAAAATAAATCCTGATGATTATGGGTAGGGGATCTTTATTCTGGTCTGTGATCAATGTATTTGTATCTAGTTTTCTTTTATTATTATAATGAAATATATATGAAATTATATGATTTTTCGTCTCTTATAATACAATGAAGTTGAAGGAGGGGGTTCCATCCCAAATTCCCCAAAAAGGCTGAATCATGAATTCACTATAAAATAAAGCATTCTTTCCCCGGATAGAAAGAACATGACTGAATAGTAAGTGTTGTTTGTTCTTATTTAGTTATATATTTTTAGATATTTGAATTCTTTGCCAAGTTATTTTTACCTTTTTTCCCTGTGTTACCATTAAAGGGGCACTAGCAGTCAGATTCATGTTCACCAATTTGACACAAATTCTTTAATTTGATTTATAACATACTAAAATGTATATCCAAATTACAAAAAGTCTATAATAAACAATTAATGGATTTCATAATAGGTATCAGCATATTGTGCGTATTTTAGTTTAAACGCCATCTTATTAACTATCGAGATGACCTCCCAAGACTGCCAACTGTCATATAACCCGATATAAACACAAATATAAATAGATAGCGACCATGTGCAAAAAATATGTTTATCATAATTTTAACTGTATAAGGATGATTTTAATAGGATCGAATTAGTCCACCAAATGGTTCATCCTTGTTTCACTTTCAATGTTGACATTCTTCTTCTTTTAATAGCTGAATACATGCATAATCCATCACTGGCTTAGGGGTTAAATTGAAGGTCATATGAATACGGATTTAATGAGGTCAAATTGTAGACTTGCAAGTGAATAATTCATCTGCGATGTTTCTTCACTTCTTTTGACAAAATTGAACCAAACAGGCTGCTAAAAGCAGATTATTATTTCACTACATCATTAATGATTGAACAAAAAAGAATAATATTTTATTTTTTTTTATATCTCATAGATAATGCCCCTTTAAGTTTTGATGAAGCTTAGTTATCAAAATCTCACCAATAACTTTTAGGCCAAAAAAATGTGTGTTTGCAGTTACAGGACTTACCCATTTTTTCATTTCCAACCCCAAACCATTTTTTCAATTTTTGGAAAATGAAAATGAATGATTGAGTTATCTTTCTTAGAACTAAATTCCCATATTTGAACAATCTCATTGTGGTGCCCCTAATTGAAGGAGGAATCTACATTAACATATATGCATACAAACATACATTATAGTGCTGTTACTGTAAACACACATTTTTAAAGACTCATCATATGAGCTGGGTCAGATAAAAATCAACCTTATGCAAGAACATGCATGATCTTGGAACATTCAAATGCGAAATAAGCAATGAATTTTGGTCTTTTTTGTAGGGTTCTTATATCAATGCAATTTACAAACAGTTATAGACTGTATAGAGATTTTGTCAACCGCATAGGTTAACAGATGTATGCATAAGGTCGATTTCTATTCGACACAGCTCATATAATGAGTCTTTAATAATGTGTGTTTACAGTAACAGCACTATATTGTATGTTTGTATGCATATATGTTAATGTAGATTCCTCCCTCAATTAGGGGCACCACAATGAGATTGTTCTTACATCAGAGGAGTAAAGAATACATGGTATTTCACAAGTAAATTATAGGTTATTATTTGACTGGGAAGTATCTTTATTACAACCAATGCAGTAATCCTTACCTCAACCATTCTACCAATGTTTACAATATGAGGTGCACTTTCACTAACAGTGCTATCTTGTTCTCCTTGTCGAGTCAAACTTCCTCCTAGATTCATGATTCCTGATCCTTCCTTGGAGGTTTGTAACCACAGCATTACTGTTGATGTCAATTTGTAGTGAGCACTTTTTCCACTAGATTTCTCCTGTAAATAAAAAAGCTTTCAATTAAAAATTGATACAGGCATTGATAGAATTATCTGCCTTTGATTAAATTGTAATGCAATTTTACCTCTTTTTGAAGTTTGTTATAACATTCAATTGTGTCCTTCGGCAATAATTTTTACAAAATAGTTTAAATGTCTTCAAATACTAAGAACGCATGCACATTCAACTGAAACTATAGTGGTTTCTAACAAAGGAGAACTATAACAATAATCGGAATCGAATCTGTCATGTTTGTTCATCTAATGAAAATTGTGAAATATTTCTTATATGATTTGCTTACTCTTTGATAGACCATGTTGCTGAAACTTCTTTTGATTCTTGTGTTAACACAGCCTCTATTTCACTCTGATTTATTCACTGACAATACACTTCCATGGAATGATTTGGTTTTTTGAAAGGTGAAATTAAAGACAAAGGAAAATAACAAATGTTTGAGTAGAGAATTATAAGCATTTTACACTTATCCCTGAGGTTACTGATGCATAAACTGATTCATCAGCTTACCCTATAGTCTTTTTTGGCAACACTTTCCTATGGGTGAGTGAATTGACAGTAACTATTTATTTTGCGCTATCAATATTTTGCCATTGGAGGAAGATATGACCAATTATTTGCAACAGAACTCATTCCTTTTAATTTCCTTTAGGCTTACTATTATCAAACTGCTAATTCTAATGCAATATATATTACAATATTTTTTATGACATCTGCTGTGAATTTCACTGTTGATGGTCAGTTATTGTGCAATTGCACTCAACATATCTAAAATGTTAAAATTTGAAAATTTTATGATTTTTGTGTAAGAATAAGAAATCAAGTACCAATTATGACTGTGTTGTACCTGTAGTGAACATCATGATTGGCCTGCCTATAGAACCTTAATATGAACACTTTACCTGTACCTGTAGTGAACATCATGATTGGCCTGCCTATAGAACCTTAATATCAACACTTTACCTGTACTTCAATCACATGTATAGAATCCCAACAGCCTTTGATTTTCTTTGACCCGTCCCCAGCTTTCTTGATTAATATAACACCAGCAAAGCCATGGTCTAAATCCCATAAGTATACAGATGATACACCTCCTTCAAAATACCTAAAATAAATAATGCAGAACTTTTCAAACACACTAGTGTAAACAACAGCTCTAAGGATTTTGCCATAACCAACACTCAATGGAACTAAACATTATAATTTAAATGTCCCATGTGTCCACCCTTTAAATTAGAAATACATTTGTTTAATCCTAAGAATTGATTACTGTAAATTCAGAAATTTTTGAGTGCATTTATTATTGCGATTTCTGAAGAATGGACAAAAAATGTGATATTAATTAATTGTCATTCCAGGAAAATCACCATTCAGATAGGTGTTTCATATATATTCAAAATGTTCTTATTATTGTCATTCTCTACAACACATAATTCAAATTAATAAAAACCTCACAATAATTTCTGAAATTACAGTATACAATAAAAATATCAATATTTAAAATTTTAAGAAAAGCTATTATATAAAATATTTTCACTGAATCTTGTTTTAAATTTTTGAGCGGGTCTGAGTAGTCAATGGTGATTAATGTTAATGTTCATCCTAATTTGATATTTAAGGTACCAGGTTGAACGAAAAGAATACAAATCATGGACTTAAACATGGGGATTCATAATGTTGTAAGATGCTTCCCAATGACACACCACTATCTTATTCCATTTTCAACGACACCTACATTTCTCTGTATTGATCAAATGATCTGTTGGCTTCTTGTTCTAGTTTTCTGAGTCGTTCTGAAGGCATAGCACCATCATCTAAAGGAGGAAAATAGGTGTTGCTCCATGGTGATCTGAAAATAGTCAATTATACAATTCAAAATGCTATGGATTGTCTTCATTGAGGGGTAAGGGTAAATATAGGAGACTTTCTTGCATGTTTCAGGATGTAGAAGATTAAACATATTGATATACAGTGGTTCTCACTATAATATTTTCAGGTTCAGTTCTGGGACTTGATCACATATTGAAGTTTGGAGTCCCATATAATTCTGATGAGTACATTTTACGGCAACTCAAAGCCCAAATCTGAAACATTTTCTTTGGTAAATTGCGTTCCTTGAAAGGAATAATTCTTAGTAACATGATAACAGTTAGATCAATAAAGGACATAATATATAAAAATAAAAGAAGAAAGTGTTCATAGGACATAGATGCCCCTGCTTGTAAATATGCAAGAGTCAATATACTAATTCAAATTTATTGACATTTTGTTTTCTTTGAAACTTAATGTGAAAACGGCAAATTCAGCAATTTTTCCATTTAAAAAGGGACATATAACTCAAGAACAGTGAAAGTGACGCCACTGAACTTGATCAGTGTTTGGTGGTAATGAGCACTGTCAATAAATTTCATAACATTTGGTCGAGGCAAAGTAAAGTTCGAGTACAGAAACTGCAAATTTGGCAGGGGCATGAAAATAAATCTTTATATCCGTTTCTATCCAATCAGATACAGCATAAATTTTTTTCGCAAGTGTTGAAGGCTGTACAATGACATGTAGTTGTTTGCATCCTATGGTCTTTGATTGATAGCTGTCTCATTGGTAATCATACCACCTTATTTCTATACTATGATGAAACGAGTGTTACCTGTGAAAGAGGACAATATTATTTTCATATTTTTTGGTAATCAGATATATATACAAATTTGTTGGAGATCATATACTTTACAATACAGCAGTCCCGGCAACAGCTTGAATGTGCAAGTGTGACTGGTGTAAAAAAAATTTACTATCTGGATTCACTCACTAGTATAATGATTCATCTTTATACTGATTTTCTTATTAATTGTTAATTACAAAGTTATTTCAATTAAAATAACTGTTCGTGTGGATTTTACACAGAAAAAGCGGGTGATTGAGCATGATTCACGATAAATTAACTCTCTCTATATCATGGCTTCCAAAAGGTTGTATTGTTCGGACAATTCAGGGAAAGTATATTCTCGACTGTTTGTGCTGAGCCCGAACTGGACTTCAAACATACAAAATGTAGGTTTTCCATTTAAACATAATACAGAAAAAACTTAAGGTTTTTGCATGCTTTTTATTACCTGATATTTTGCCTTTAACAACCACACATTTCATGTCATAAAAGTTTGAAATTTAATATTGCTTTTATGCCCAAATAATTACTTTGATTGACTTTCTTACTATTAAAGTCTAAAGCGATTAAAAACAAGACAAGAAAAAAATTTTGGCTTCCCGAATCATTTTTTGGAAGCCCTGCTCTATATACATATATGATAAGAGTTTTAAACTAGATTGTTATCACTTCAATCACTGTGTTTCACGCTAAATCACTTTAAACACCAGCAAAATTCACTGATTGTCTCATGATATGTTAATTCTTTACTTCATAATATTATTCTAGAATCAGTTATTATTTACCATTCTAATATGACGTTCTTCTTTCACTTCAAATACAAAGCCATGTTTTAATTTAAAAAAAACATGGACTGCGCGTGATTGACGTCACAATTAAAATTGCAACGTCAGTTGTATTTAAAACTACTCCAGAGATAAAAAATAACATTTGCGTTGGTGTTGCTTGCTGGGAAATTATACATTACCATTATAAAAGTAAGTTTACATGTATCTCTTCATTTTTTATCGTGAAACAATTAATTTTCAATATTGTTTTGGCTTCATCAAATCAAAATGGCTGCCTTTAGAACATGTATTATAGGTCCGCTTCAGAGGATAAAAATTCTAAATTTTCCTACTAGAATCAAAATAGTTCTATCATGCCATGCTCTATGCTCTTTTTAACATGGGAAGGCATTATATTTGTCAACATTTTACACCTGGCAAATGCTCGGTATAAAGATGGTATGATAGAATTATTTCTTAATTTATTTACTGTAAGTGACTTTTTACAAACCCTCCTCGAATAAGTAGTACTTACCTGTAGGAATCACCGTCTCTATTATAATCACACAATAGAAAATCTTTTCCTACATTTTTATCTCGAGATATCTTTAATGGTTGATCTACTGATGATAATAAATCTTCACATAAATTTGGCACCTGTAAGCATGGCAAATAAAATCCTCTTTACATGAGCATACATTCATGTAAATATCCTTTTCAAAGTTATACAGAACTTACACACATGGAAGTTCAAAAGGTGATTAACATAAAAAAGAAGAGGTGGTATGATTGCCAATGAGACAACTCTTCACAAGAGATCAAATGACACAGAAATTAACAACTTTAGGTCACTGTACAGCCTTCAACAATGAGCAAAGCCCATACCGCATAGTCAGCTATAGTCAGTTATTGAGTTAAGCATGTAAACAGTCACCATCTCAATGAATGTACCTCTGACACTCGTTTTTATTTATGATTAGAGTGTCAGTGATGTATTTGGCGTACAAAGTTTTCCCTACGATGAGTTTTTATTGTCAAACTGAATGATTTTCTGTTGTTCGTAATAACAAATAACAGATGGTATCTTTAGCAACATGAGATAAATCACTACACATCACCCAGAATCTTTACTAAATCATCATGTGTGTACATATACAGAAATACAATTACTCACTAAATCTATTAAATCTGTAAGGTTTTTCTCTATTTGTTGTGGAGGAAGCCTTCTCATCAAATCTAACGCACAGTCTAACTGTTGTTCTGTCTGAAAAATAAAATCACTCGTCAAGATACAGATGCACTAAGGCCAACAAAAAATTTCTGTTTGTTTCCTGCATCCAACCCTTATAAAATAAGGTTGGGCTCCAGGATTTTATTGTTTTTTTTGCATATATTAACAAAATCTGGAAAAATTTTATGTTTTTCTCCGAGTTTGATACACTGTAACAGTTTTCATAATATGTTGTTGCAGGTAATCCACTTATCTGATGGGTCATTAATGATCATCAACATTTTATTTTCCGATGGGTCATTAATTATCATCAACATTAATTTTTCCAGATACCATCGGTCAGTCCGCATAAATTTCATATTGAAAAAATGTTCATACCACAACACAATTTGCAACGTTTACTAGTTTCATGATGAAAACATAATTGACAGAAAGAAGAAAACTATTATAAACTTATTAAAAACATTGTTTTACTTGCATTCCGTAAAAAAATGGTAATTTAGACGTAATTTGTCTTTGTATGCCCTTACTTTTGATACGAAAAAAACAAAACCAGCCGCCATTGATTGTATTCACTTCTACAGTGTATAATCCTCTGAAGAAGGAGCACACCCGAATAAAGAAAGATAACTCAATTTTTATTTTTTTCTAGTATTAAGATACCTATTCAAGATCTGTCTACATACTTCTGACTTTAGAACTTATAGGTTTAGGTCTTTTGTGTTATAGGCAAAGTTAAGAGGGTCCTTGATAGCAGGATTGGTAGGGGGCTTCCGTCATCATTTTCTGTGTTCTTTATTTTAAAATTCAGAATGGAAATGTGGAATGTGTCAGAGAGACAACAACCCGACCAAAGAGCAGAAAACAGCCGAAGGCCACCAATGGGTCCCGCACCTGGAGGCGGGCTTCAGCTGGCCCCTTAACAAAAATGTGTACTAGTTCAGTGAAAATGGACTTCATACTAAACTCCAAAACATATAAATGAACTAAAATTAAAAAAATTGTATACATATGTTCTCTAACTTCTCTACTCTGTATATTTAAACACCCATTATTCTCTTTTCTTCATTTAATTGCCCATTTTTTCTATTCTTTATTTTTAATTTAAAAATATTTTCTCTACTCTGTAGCATATACAAACCATAAGCTAATTATAAGGACAGGAACATTGATCAAAAGAGTCATTATGTAAGTCCTATAAGTCCCTGTTTGGACTTACTTATATAATTACAGTTAAATGATGTACAGTGCATAAGAAATTTAAATTGAACATGGTTTCAATTTTGGTACAGGAAATCAAGACTCTAGCTGCCTCAAAAGTTTGCTCTAAGTTTTTCCAAACTGGCAACAAAATATAGCAGCTGCCGATTTTTCTGGCTCCAACTTTGTTGAAGCCAGAGCAGCCCCTGATTTGGGCATGCATGTTGATACTTTTATAATTTTAAATGTTTTGACAAATTCAATACTCAATATGTGTGGATCTTATTACAAATTTGATTGAATAATCCTGCAAAAATTGAATTTGTAGTCAAATAAGACATGTAAGACGAATCACAATGTTTTTTCTTGAATTTTTTTTGGACAGGCATTAAACTATTTTAAAGTCCGCAAATTGCAATCAAACTGAAGGTGGGTCAGGATGCAGGAAACAAGCATATAATATTTTTTGGTCTTTAGTCCCCCACACATTTTATCTGTCCAAGGTCAAAGACTAAAGGAGAGTTCTTTTTTATCATTTTAAACTTTTATATAAATATCTTTGAGAAATGTTGGCTTGAGAGTGCTTACAATGCAATTTTCCATAGAATCAATATTTCCAATGGGCAGAACTCTTTTCAAATTGTTGATTAGCACTGATTCATTTTTTATTTTTTATTTGTCGGAGATATTACGGATTAAAATCATCTCAAAAAGAAGGCCAACCATTATCTCTTTTGATAAGACCAGCATTATTTATACAATTGTATTTTCTTTCTTTATTAACATGATTAATGATGTTGATGTTTAAATGTAGTTTGCGAATTCTTGAGAAAAAGAAATCTTATTAATATCAGATCTTTCTCTTCGCTTCGGGTGTAATGGATGATACTATAGCACCAGAGGAAGGTGAGGTAGCTTATCTGTGGGCTTGATAAGGGATTTTGAGGGTGACCAATCAGAAAATCATTCCCGACACAGAATCTGAAAAAGGTAATGACACAAACTGAGCCTAATAGACCTGTTTTTTATCACACCCAAACTGTTTTCTTGCAGAGATATATGAAGTTTCCTATGCCTTATCCAATACACCTTTTCACTATTTGTCTGCCATTACTGGACTTCACATGGGTTCTCTTATAATTTTGACGTCACAAGAGAAAATATCCGAATCCATGGAAAAGTGATTGTTGTATGACATCAAAAGTTCAAGTGTTGTTAATTCTCTGGTCAAGTGTAAAAATAGCAATAAGGTCTTTTAGTATTGCCTTTGTTCAAGGTGAAGTCTGAAGACTGGCAAACAGCCATTTGTGTCCATTTGTTATGAACCTTAAGATATATGTATTGTTACAATGGACTGTTTCACAGTATTCTGCCAAACATTTGTAACGTAAAAATGCATTGCTTTAGTTTCAAGCATGCACATAATTTGTCAATGTTATATCATATTCAATTTAATGTACACACACCACCGAACGATGTGTACATGATGACTACATCGCTCGGTATATCCGCCCTCTTTTGAGTTACTTCGCTTTAATGTCATTAAATTTTTCCTGGAAATAAATACTGATTGAAAAATATGAAGTATAATTCTTATATTTTCGATATATAGCAGTCTAAACATTAATGCAAACCATTTTGTCGAGATAATACTCTAATCTTTCGATTCAGGAAGCAAGAGTTCGTAGAAATGGCCTCTACATCCGGGACAGCCTTTACTGTTTTACTGGTTTACATAAGAGCAAGCTTTGAAGAAAAGAATTAAACCGGATATCAGTAATGGGTCAAAACAAAATGCAGCATCGGAACGGATTATTTTTCTGGTTTGGGATTCAAACAGACAGATTTGCAAAACAAAAACAAAAACAAAAAAATCAACATGTAACATTTACAAGACTGAAAAATTGAGCAAAAAAATTAATAATGAAGATTAAATTAAACAATGAGGACAAAGATATTTTATAGAATTATAGTCATTTCGTACCTAGGTTGGTTCCCTCCGTTAATTATTCAGTATGCCTTCGGAATATACAAATATTTACGGTCGGTATGAGCTTATGATGGCCTTGAACTTGAACGTTTCGGTTCCCGGTTTGTCGAACGTCCACATACGGTACCAGTTGAAAATGGCGTTAAACGTCAGATTGAAGTCTGGGTTGCGTTCAATATCGTAGCGGCCTCATAGGGCTACGTAGATTTATGACTACTGAACGTGTAGCTACCCTAGCTGCTACATAGATATTGATAGCAGCTAGGCTAGCTACTCGTTCAGTAGGCAAAAATCTACGTAGCACTATGTAGCTGCTACGATATTGTCATTATTGAATGCAACCCTGTTCTTGATGGAAACAAATATACCAAACTCATTGATTCTTGATTTAATAACAGGGGGAAACATGCATATAAACAGCAAAGAAAAATAGATTGTCGACTGTTTTCCTCATTCCATAATGCATATAATAATCCATAATTCATGAACCAATCATTTCGTAAACTTAAGCTTCGGGCTTGTGCTGTTGTGGATTCAAAAGTTTATCGTAAAGACTGCAACATTAGGCTGTTGTTTGATATAAATGAGTGGGTGGGTCGTTTCCTAAATCGCTGTTTATTTGAAACTCTCTCCCTTTTATTTCTTAGATGACACATTCCACGTTTTACCCCCCCCCCCCCCCCAATAAATTATCCAACATCCCCACTTTTTAATTACCCCTATCCTGTATACCAAAAAATATTCCTCTTTTGTGATTTGAATAGTTAAATGGTGTTGTTTGTTTTTTATGAGGATTACAATTTTTGATTCATATTTTTACAGAAGGGAAGTGTCAACAGTCTGTTCCTAGTACATGTATTGAAATAATTAAAAAAAATCTCTGTGCTCCTATTAATTGGTGTATTGTAGGTTTTTTATTCCCAAAAATTATAAAATTATGAAGCCTATTCTTGTTTTGAAGCATCCCAACTAGACAATTATAAAGTACATGTAATTCTTAACTTCCAATATTATTACAGTGCATTATTTTTTATTAATAAAGTGAAGCTAGATCATGATTTTCGTAATATAGGGTTGTTTGTCACATACTGTTTCTAAAGTTTGAATAATGGCCAAAATTATCAGAAAATAATCAATTAAGGCATTGCTATTTATTTTCTTCCCGCTGTTAGACTCGCTATGGCAAAATTGGGATGTTCCTACTCACCATGACCAAACAATATTGAGTCCATTGATTTGCCTATAAAATTCTTGATGAGTACCAAGTGTTACATTCAATTTTTACTTTTACTGCACATTAACCAATATCAATTATTTAATATACATGATTGGGGACTGGATTTTAAGTTAACAGTTACCTTTGTAGCTATTACACCCAAATGTTGTCCTGATACTCTTGGCATTAACAATAATTGTTATTGAAGTTATGTGCATTGAACCAGAGATGAATTCATGAATAGGAAATCAATTGCAACTAGTTAAGTTGAAAATTACTTGGGGCCAATGGCTCTTTCATCACGGGTGCAATATTGTCTCATTGTCATATTAGCAAATAATGGCGGTTTTCACCTCATTCCTCTTTTAATCACCTTTCTAATATATCAATAACAATTTCACCTTAAAATAAATCATCAAAAAATTGTATTGTTTTTCCTTGTTCTATTTAGTGGGCATCCCATTGGTAGCTGCACATGCACTGTGCATGTTTTATTGTGTTTGTTCTAGTATTATGACACATGGTGCAGATCTGCAAAAGAGGAGGTGTGTGTGCGAACATGAAACTGGTTAAACCCCACCTTAGTTTGTGTCTATACCAAGTCAGGCTTGCTGGACCTTAAGTTGTTTGTCATTGTTTGTACTGTATCATATGTTTTTTCTTAAGTCTGGTATACGTTGTTGAAATTTAAATCCTATCAAAACGGATTTTTCACAAAATTTACCATTTTTTCACATAAAATAAGGTTTTACCACACTTTTGACCCCTGGGAACAATTCAGGATGACCTTAATACATTGTACCTATCGGTTTTGTTAAATTCCAGTGCAAGAAGATATTTCTCAAAATTTGAGATTTTAAACAAGAAGTAAGTTTATACCAATTTTATTTCAAATTGGTTTTCTAATTTTTGAAATACTTATTTACACTTACATATAAATCCTTGTTGAAATCTTAGCATAAGAAGACAATTTCACTGCAAATCTTGAACCAAGATTACATGGAAAAGCATATTATACATATTTAACATAGATCTCGAGTTTTGTTGTAATTGAAGCAAAAAGTTGTTTGTTCAAATCTGTAAAATTTTTAACAAACATATATTTTTACTCCAATCTTTTCCCAATTTTTATAATAATCAATCGAGAATGTGACACTTTTGGATAGCGTAGTATACACCTTTATATATTTTTGTTGAAAACTTAGCACAAAAAAGATGCTTTTCAAAATTTCTGATTTTTAACACAAGACATCTTCGTTAGCCAAGGGTTACGATCCTGTCCGAGGGGACTGGATCGTAGGCCTTGGCTAGCGAAGATGAACAGAAGAGTGCAGACACTGAAATGTCTTGCCTGCTTTACTTACTATTGTGACTGAATTTATGTTGAAATTTGAAAATATAAAAATAAGATGTGATATGATTGCCAATGAAACAACTCTTCACAAGAGACCAAATTACTCAGAAATTAACAACTAAAGGTACGGCCTTCAACAATGAGCAAAACCCATACCGAAATGTCAGTTGTTAAAGGCCCCGAAATGACAAATGTAAAACAATTCAGAACATGAATGTGTCCATAGTACACGGATGCACCACTCGCACTATCATTTTCTATGTTCAGTGGACTGTGAAATTTGAGGTCAAAACTCTAATTTGGTATTAAAATTAGAAAGATCATATCATAGGAAACATGTGTCCTAAGTTTCAAGTTCATTTGACTTCAACTTCATCAAAAACTACCACGACCAAAAACTTTAACCTGAAGCAGACGAACAGACACACAGACCGAAAAACATAATGCCTAGGTGGGGCATAAAAATTACGGCCTGGTTTATGTACAAAATAATGAACAAAAAACAAATAAGATATAAAGCAACAAACAACAAAAACTGAATTAGTAATGTACAAGCTCCTGACTTGGGACAGGCGAAGTCTGTTATATGAAGTTTTTACTATAAGTATCAAATACACTTAACATTATCAATCATCCATGAAAATGAGGTCAGATGAACCATACCTTATGTACAATCATTGCATACAGCAAATATTGTTTACATGTTGCTTATAGTTAAGTATCTGATAAGAAAACTTAACCTTGATCATTGATCCATGAAATGAAGTTGAGGTCAGGTAAACCCTGTCTGATGGACATGTATACCAAATACAGTTAGTTATCCTATTACTCATAATAATGGAAATTCAAACAACAAAAAATAAAATGCTCCAGACAACACATCTTGATACGACCGCAAATGTTGAACCCTAAACAAGTATGGTCACAACATTCAAGCTTATTACAGCTCTGTATTTGGATTGTGATTTAAAATTTAACACAGTAAAGGTTTCTGAAACGGAATGAATGTTGTCTATATGAACTTAAAAAAATTTGAAATTGGACATTTACCTGCATTTGCATTATGGTCCAATATCCAAAATCTAAATGCCTGGAGAGATTCAGCATATCAAAGAACCCATAGAACATAATTTTGGTTAAACTCAAACTAACTTTAATTTTGGACCCTTTTGGCCTTAATATGAACCAATTTGAAAACCAGACCCAAAATCAAAATTCTATACACAGTTAGATTCAGCATATCAAAGAAACCAAAGAATTCAATTATTGTTGAAATCAAACAAAATTTTATTTTGGACCTAAAAAGACCTCAATGTGGACCAATTTCAAAAAGGACACAAAAATTCAAAATAGGGTACATGGTTAGTTTTGGCATATCAACTAAATAATTTAATTTTTTATGAAATCAAACAAAGTTTAATTTTGGACCCTTTGGACCTCAATGTGGACCAATTTAAAAATATTGTCAAGATTTTCAATAACGGCCGGGTACCAGTCTGTTTCGTACCCTTCAGTGCAAAATCCATTTCGTACCTCATGGAATATTTATATGTATCCCATTTCGTACCTTATGAAATAGTTTATATGTATGTCATTTCGGACTTGATGGAAGATTTATTTGCATGCCATTTCGTACCTCATGAAAAATTTATATGTATACCATTTCGAACCTCACGGTAAATTTACATGTATGATATTTCGTATCATATTTCTCAAATTGAAAAAGCCATAGCAAGTTCTGTAATTGGTCACTTAAGGTGCAAATTCGTATGTAAACGTTTTTATTCATGGGTTTCTACTGGAGTGAATATCAGCTTGTGTCTCTTAATTTTCACTGCATTTCCTGGCAAATCAAAAACAGTTGCAGATAACTATTCCTTTTTTCTTAATTAACCTCATATTTTTAGAGTTGAAAAATTAGCTAAGGATAAACCCTGCAAACAATCTAAGTGTAATAAAAACTATTAAAGTTACCGTGTAGTGCTTACTTAAACCAATCATAGGTCTTCATAAATTTACAACTGTTGGAAGCATTTTACTTATGTTATAATATTTTTTTTTAAATCAAAATCATCGCAAAATGTTTAATAACGTATTGTACCTATTTATAAAAAAAAAAAACATTTTTTTATATGCAGTATCAAATCAAATCAAATGTCTTTATTTTCCTAAAATTTAAATTATATAACACCAATCATAATTTAATAATAGGATCAGAGACATATGATATGTATTAAATGTCTCTGATAGGATTAAACAAGTTGATTAGTTAACTACAGACATAATCACACAATCAAAGGAATTTAATTTACCAATTAACATGGTAATTAAGAAATTCATTTGTTTTATAAAGATTTGAAATAAAAATTCATAAACCATTCGTATATTGTATATTTTTTCAATAATTTTTTGTATAATATTAAGGAAAATCAATTAATATTTTATAAAGATTTTCAAAATCAATGCATATATTTTTAATGGTACGAGATTGCAGTGGTACGAGTTCGCAATGGTACGACTTCGCAGTGGTACGGGTTAACATTGGTACGAGTTGACTTTTAGTGGTACGAGTTGACGTGGTACGAGTTTGCAATGGTACGAGTTAACTTGCTTCCCTTTATTCCCAGTTAAAGGGCCCATATAGAGCATATAAATCAAATCAAATGTCTTTATTCCTATGCACTAGATATAAAACATTTTAAAAACTTTTCGTGGGGCAGTATGAATTAAGGATCTTTTTCTTATTAATTATACATTTTTGTTTTACACTATCCAATACCGATGTGGGGACAAAATTTCAACGATTTACAAATATATGACACGAAATAGTAAACATGTATTTAGTCTATGAGTTACGAAATGGTTAATGCAGTTGGCCGATAGGGTACAAAATGGTAAATGTTTGGTACCGAATGGTAATTTTGGGTACGAAATGACAGAGGTATGAAATTGATAAATATAGATTATTGTTTCAAAATTCCAATAGGGAACACATATTATATTATTGTAGTTATTAAACATTTTTGAGACGTTTCGGCAACTTTCCGTCTTCAGTTAATACTGAAAAAAAACTGAAGAGGGTCAGTGTCTTATAATAAATTTATAAAATTGATTAGCCCATAAATACAAGAAACGATCCTGTAAATCATATCTTTAAAATCAAAGAAAAATATGTTTTATAATAAATATAAATATCAAGAGTCAAAATAAATATAAATTTGAATTTGAATATTTTCCTATTCAAAGAAAGGTCAAGACAGTTTTTATACCAAACGTTTCAGTATAATTACAATGTGCAATTTGCCATGACTCATTTTACCCATAATTGATCATAATTCATACAATTTAAATCATAGCGTAATTGTGTTGTGTACAAATTGTAATGTTGTACAAATTATAATTTGCACATAATTTTTGTGCAAGTTATCAGTGTTTTATAAACAGCTTAACACAAATGGATGAATTTATATGGATATGATTTTGGTATAAGGAGAAATATACAAATAGAATTTAAACAGTTCAGGTGTCCATATTTCCAGTATTAGGACAAGGAGAATAGCACTAAATGTTAGGTTTAAGTATATGAATTTGAATTTAAGGCTGATAAATTTTAGAAGATAAACTTTTACTACCTGGTGCAAAAGGGTATGTGTCAAAAAACATATAACTTGTACAAAAACCCTGTATAAATTATAATTTTGTCTTGTACACAAGAATTGATAGCTTTAATACATTTAGAGTTATCTTTCTTAGAATCATAGATTGCTACTATTATCATTATGCACCATTATTTGACAACTTGGAATGTAAATGGCTTTGGAGATAAATACAGAGATGATCAATTCATGTCTTGTCTCAAATATGAGACATGTGCTTCTTTAATATTGATACTTACAATGGGAAAGTTCAAAATTGGAATAATCTCTTTTGTCAATTTTCTAGATGCTATTCAAGATAAGAGGCAGATAGTCTGTATCTGTGGGATCCATTATTTCAAGTTCTATGGGATAAGCCAGATTACATCATCGATATAGCGGATTGTGAAGTTAAGAAACAATGATCGTTTCATTTCACTCTACTGAAAGCTTGTGTATTTAAATCGTCCTCTAATAAAAAAAAGTCGACATGAGGACAATTGGTGCCCATATTGAATGTCAGTTGTTTGTTGACAAACACGTCCTCCAAACGTAACAAACATGTAAAAAAACTCAAACATTTCAATCATGTTAGTTTCAAAGATTGTTTAGTTAGAATCATAGTGTGTTTTTTTCAAAGTATGTTTTACCTCTTCATTAGACAAGATATTTGTATTTACATTGGCCATTCTTTTTTTATGAAACAAACATCTTTTGATGTGTCTTTCAGTTTAGAATGACGGATATTGGCGTAAGAGATAGAGAAGTCAAATGTTTTTGAACAAATTGAAAAGGAAAGAGACTTAGATTGTATATAATCTAACATATCGTTTAGACCACCCGTAGAGATAGTTACTCTGAAACTCCGATTTGATTTCTGGTAAAATAGATGTTAATAGTTTGGAAAGAGGTTTTTATGCAGCACTTAGCAAACCCAAACAGGAGTATAACGTTGGTTGTAATGAAACTTGTGTAATTTTTGTATCTAGTATGGAAAAGAAAGAAATTCTGAAGCAACCATTGTTACTTACGATCTATACTTATGTTTATCACGTTTGAAAAAAAAAAACGGTCGTAAAAAAACCAACAGCCAAATCGTCATAGGTCAACGGAAGTTGTTTTTTCGAATAAAGAAGATATGTCTTTTAGTGGGAATTGGGGAGTTGAATGCGATCACAGCTTAAGTTGTTCTGATGGGTTCTAGTATTTTCAACATCTTGAAGTCAACCATTTGTCTATCTGTCACAATTTTACCATCCCCCTGTTATCAACATTCCAGATAATTAATTGGTTTAGTGTAGCTGGCTTTTCTCGTTTTGTTTTATTCATTTGTTGTTGGTGTTAAACGTCACATCCAGGACTCTTAAATGATAAAGCCTATCATGATGTATCTTTTTTTTTGCATGCCATATTTGTTTGACTTTAATTGTTTTTATTGTTTCAGAATTGAACAGGTAGTTGGTTTTCTTATTAGAATTGTATCACACTTTTTCAACCTGTATATCTTACTCCTAAACGGTATGGGTTTTATCCATTGTTGAAGTACGTACTAACCCCTATATATAGTTGCTAAAATTCACTTCGTTTCGTCTCGGGTAGAAAAATGTCTCATCGGCAACCTTACCCATACATATCTTCTCATTCATGAACAAACAGTACAGGTATATTTTTACCGTTATATTTATATATTTTAGGTTGAATATCCCTTTGGTATCTTTCGCCTTTCTTTTAATACAGCTGATTGGTCATTCTCATTTTCATCAGTAGGATAAAATATAAAAACATAATACTATTTCTATGTGTATGCATGTTAGTTTACCATGAGTATTTGTGTGTGTGTGTATTTGTTTGTGTATGTTTAGTCCTTGCTAGCAGGTACATTTTAAACATCTGACTTGACGCACAACAAGTTAAGGATGTACTTAGGCCAGGTTTAGGAATTTTTGTCAGATGTTCGGACTCCTTGGCTTTTTTCCTACGATACATGGCAAAATATTTTGCCCCATAACACCCATTTTTCTTTAAATATAAGACTTCAATAGCTCATAAAAGGTCATTTACCAAAAATGTAAGCAGATTCTAGATTTCTTTTCTTTCGATTTGAGACCCAAATAATACCAATGCAAATATAAGGTAAAAGTCCGAGTCAGCCTTTCCTGCCATTTTTTAAAAATTAAATATCTCGAAAAGGAGCTCCATAACCTATCAATATTTTTAGCTTATTTTGTTCCTTAACTAATGCTTTTCTGACTTATAGTATCAATTTTAAATTCTAGATTTTGTTAATTTCACCTAAGTACATCCTTAACACAAAGACTGCCTTTAATATAAAACTTATCAAAGATACCAGACTATAATTTGGTAACAAGATATTTATATAATAGATATATTTGTTCATATGCGTTCAGCTGTAGATAATGCATACCTGTACTATTTAAATTGTATGAATGATACGGTACATAATGAATAAATTTACTATTTTTGGACATATGACTTCCCTGTTCAAAACCCTTCCACAAATACCGTATGGTAAGAATATTTTTGATATTTCACTTTCTTTTCTTATTTGTTATCAACTTCTGTACAAAATACTTTTGTCAGAATAAAAGTAGCGGATGATACCAAAGGGAATTCAAAAATCATAAGTCGAAGAGAAACTGACAACGTCATGGCAAAAAAAAAAACAAAAACGAAATGACATACAGCAGTCCACAAAGTACTGCAGAGAAAACTTAAAACTGAGCAACACGAACCCCATCAAAAACCGATGGTCTCCGATTATCCGGAAAGGACATCAGATCTTGCTCTAAATGTGACAACCATGCATGTGTTGCTCAAGTAGGTACACATTTGGTGAAAAATCTTTCGATGAGTCACAATCGAGGAAAAGAAATGATATTGCAACTAAATAAAGACCGTCTCTAATTCAGTTTACAATATACCTCATTAGATAAGGCAACACATTTCAGTGTTCAAAAAAAGTAACTCTGGCAAAAAACATTATTAGGTACGATTGTGTTGCGGCCAAATTTATCATGTTTATAAAACGTTCAGGAGCGTCTAAACCAATACGGGCCTTGGGAGAACAGCCAAACCATCAAATTCAAATGTTGCTACAACAGTTGTTTTGTTAAAGTACAATTATATATTTTTTATAAAACTACAAAAGGCAGTTTGCTATTCATCTTTTCAATAACATAACAAATGTAAACAAACATGATTTCTTTTTCACTATATGAATGACTTAATGACTATTATATGAACAATGTTGAAGTAAATCTTCTGATGAAAAAGTAGACAAAATCAATAGTAAAACAATGTCGGTGACAATACTGATTACAAGTTATTTCTTAACAACAAACGTACAAGAAAGTATTTGTTAAACTGTGTTATTAGAAATTGAATGCAAATAAATAAATAAATAAATAAATGCAAATAATTACATTACATGCATGTATGTTTCACGAGAATTCGTTAGTTTGATTGGCTAACAACAATCGCGCGTCATTCAAAAATTAACCTTCATATCACAATGAAATGTAACATTCGTGATGACACGTGCTTCTACAAAAAATGCACAGGTAAATAAAAGAAAAACTTGATAAAACTTTTTTTCATGGTCTTATTAGCATAAAAATGTAATTATAAGAAATAAATGCTTCTTTTTGTAATTTTATTGGGGTGTAAAAGTGTTGATCGTGCACACTTTTACAATGAAGCGCGGAAACAAAATGTGCTTCGGTCAACACTTTTACACCCCAATAAAATTACAAAAAGAAGCATTCATTTCTTAAATACATGATGTTTTATTTTCATTATTTATCGAGATAACTGCAGTAGAAGCTTGCTAAACTGAAATTTAAAAAATGTTAATCATTGCTGCACATTGATGAATAAATGGATTGAAAATAATCTTGTACAAAATCTAAAGCACTTTCAAGTCACTAATTTTCGGAGAGTTCCACATAGTTTTTGTTACAATTTTTCCAAATATGCCTATTTTTCACATCTTAGTTTTTGAGTATGCCCATCTGCTCTTGCCACGAGAACTTTCAATATAGAAATAAGTTTAAAGTGTTTGCAGAGGAGGCAATATTAGATATCCCACTGTAAGATTGGGTACCACTTTTTGCGATCGTGAAAAAGATCATGAAAGATCAAGTTCATGTCACATATTTGTCATTGCAAAAATCACTGAAAGCGTTCAAATCATTCTGTATCTATAAACTTTATCATTGCAATTATTACATCAAAAGACTGGACTTCGTTTCACTTTTGTTGAGGAATCAAAATATGTTGGACTACGATGGTTCAATATACCCTTTGGTCTGGTTTTGTAATGCTAGTAAGACCACGCCGACTAGTCCATGGTGCTCTATAGCTATTACTGTCTGTCTATCCGCCCATCAACCTATTCATGTCATATAATAAGTCAAGATTGCCTCATCTGATAACGACATTTTTTATGAACAGTATTCATATCTATTTAAGATGAAGATCCTTGTCAATTTCTAGTGAGAAAAAAGTGGGGGAACATTTTGGTAAAATCTCATTCTTTTAAAGCCGTTTAAAAATCGCAAACCGAAAAGCAATACAAAACCTTGGTTTAACAAGCAATGTTTTGATATTCAGTTACAACTTTTCGATGCTGTAATCGCACCTATATTATTATATTCATCAGAGGTTTGGGGGTTTGAAAATAAACAGAATATTGAGAAAATGCATCACGGTGTTCGGAATAGTACACCAAATTTTATGGTTTACGTGGAATTGGGTCGGATTCCTTTAGATATCTCTATAAAACATAGGATGACATCATTCTGGAGCAGAACTATATTAAAGCAGAGAGCAAACTGTCAAATATCCTTCTTAGACTTATGATTAAATTACATGGAAATAATCCTACCAAATTCAAGTGGATTCAATATGTAAAATATTTTTTTGATGATACAGGTCTTACCTTTATATGGAACGATCAATTAGTTGTAAATAATGATTGGTTAAAGAGTATAGTTAAACAGCGATTAACGGATCAGCACTATCAGCATTGGTTTTCACAGATACATAATGCATCCAGGGGGGAATACTATTCTTTAATTGAGTTTTGTTTGGAATCATATCTATTACGATTATTACCTAGGGACAGATATTTTATTTCTAAACTTCGATGTTCGAACTTGAAGTTACCTATTGAAACGTGGAGATGGGCAGGGATTCCGCGAGAAAATAGAATATGTACTTTATGTAATGAGGGAATAGGTGACGAGTTTCATATATTGTTTACCTGTAAAAATGCTGATATTTCTGCTCTTAGATCAAAGTTTATACCATATTATTATGTAATTAATCCAAACATGAACAAATTTACTGGTCTGCTGTCTATATGTAACGTACAAGTGCAAAAGAAATTATCAATTTTTGTAAAGAAAATTATGAAATACTTTGATTAATAATATCAAATGTCTTTTATAACATACTATGTATTTGTGTGTGTTTTGTCTGTCCTGTCTCGCTATGTATTATCTTATGTTTGTAATTATATTGTACTCTTGTATACCTGGGGCCGTGTCAACGAAGCGGTCTTAGGACTAGGACGTGTCTTAGGATGGTCTTAGGACACGTCTTAGTCCTAAGTCAGGTTAACGAAAGTCTCCTAAGTTAAGATATGTCCTAAATTTGATCCTAAAGTTAGGATATATGAATAGGTGTCTTATGATGGTCTTAGGATAGTCCTAAGAGTTATGATGTCCTAAGTTGAAATAAAAACAACAAATATGGCCGCTGTGTATGTTCATGTAAGACGACGAGCGAATAATATTCGCCGAAACAGAGTGTTTAGGGACAGAGACAATCCATTAGACTATTTGGACGATGCTGATATTGTACGTAAATATAGACTTTCAAGACCAATGATTCTAGAACTTTGTGGAATGTTCCAAAATGAGCTCGCTAGGCCGACTTAAAGGTCCCATGCATTTCCTGTCTCATTACAAATAATGGTAGCCCTAAGATTTTATGCGACTGGGAGCTTTCAACTGGTTAATGCTGATGTCCATCGTATTTCTAGAGCTAGTGTTTCTATACTATTACACGTGACGTCACACAATGTTTGAAAAATGTATGCAATCAATACATTTCGATGCCCACAGATCAAGCATCTCTTCAAGCTTTAAAGCAAGGTTTTTATGACATTTCAAATTTTCCAAATGTTATTGGTGCTGTTGATGGTACTCATGTGCGTATCAAAGCCCAGCTGTTGATGAACACTTGTACGTAAACAGAAAAAAATTACCACTCGCTTAATGTAATGGGAGTTTGTGACTCAAACTTGAAGTTTTTAAACATTGTGGCAAAGTGGCCTGGTAGTACACATGACTCATTTGCATTGAGCAATTCAAGGCTTTGTGAAATGTTTGAAGACGGAGACATAAGCGATGGATGGCTTCTTGGGGACAGTGGATATCCACTTCGACCTTGGCTCCTAACACCAGTCATAAACCTAACAACAAGACAGGACCAACGTTACAACAGTTGCCATATGAGAACAAGATGTGCTGTTGAGAGGAGTTTTGGAGTGTTGAAATCTCGGTTCCGAAGTATCGATACCACTGCAGGAACATTGTTGTACAGCCCAGTTAGATGTTGTGACATTATAGTAGCTGTTGTTGTTCTACACAACATGTGTATTGACAATAGAATTCCATTGCCTCCAGGAAACAATAATCCAAGTGATCATGGAAACATTGGTGGACAGCAATATGTTGGTATACAAAATTATGGTGCAGTTATTCGTACTAGATTGATTAATAACAGATTCAACAATTAATAAAAAAAAATATTCTTATCCTTTTTTAATCACTGATGGGTTGTTCATTGCATTTATTCTTGTATTCTGATACCTGGATGACTATCTCACAGACATACAACCAATAAAATTTCATTTGGTGGTACAAAGGAATTTAACAATTTTAGGTTTAAAAGAAAGGAAAAGGATTCTTAAGGGACACTCAAACTCACAAGTCGAATATAAAACTGACAAAGACATGGCAAAAAAGAAAAAGAAAATGTCCAAGACAAATAAGAGTATACAAAACACAATATAGAAAACCAAAGATTGAGCGACACAAACCAGTATAGCGATTATCATTGTAAACTTATAGTTTTCAACGGAAATTATCATTGTATACTTATAGTTGTCAAAGGAAATAAGGTAAATTATTTACTGAAATGCTAACTATATGATTATTCAAAATTGAACTATGACAAAAAGTATATTTAATCAATATGATAGAAATAGCAATGTATCACTCGTGATCACTGGCTCGATCTGAGTTTTCTGGAATCTGCAAACTGATACCAAGTTGGGCCAAACGCAACTGTACTTTGGCCTGTTCCAGCTGAAGGCGTTAGCGGTCAACAGATAGCTTATCTTTATCTACGCGAAGTCTTTCATTTTCAACGGTAAGTCTCTCCTTCAGCAGCCTCATCTTTTCTTCTTTCAATTTCAGTGTATCCTTTTCTACCTGCAGTCTTTCCTTTTCAATATTCAACCTTCCTCTCTCAATTTGAATCAGCTGCTGAGAATCACTATCGTCCATGGTCGAAGCAGTGGTGGTAATATTTCTGGTTAGCGTAGTTCTATTACTAGCACCGCTGATTGATGGTTCTGAAATAGAATGTTAAACATTAAGCTAATTCATAAAGACAATTTTTTGAATCGACAAAATGCATGAAAAGAATAACGTTGATTGACATATTTTGGCGATTACTGTGTGTGTGTGTGACGTTGTGGTCTATATACACCCACATCTCTTAGTTTTCAGTGTATTATCAAATAGTTGAATCAAAAACAGATGGTTATTAAATATATTTCAAATATTAAAAAGGACAATCATTCAAAACAGGAAGAATAAATGTATTTCAAGCCAAAATTCGATTAATTGATGATCACATCCAGTGGCAAACATCACGACCGGAGAAAGTTCAAAGACAGGCATGTCGAACCAATCATGTCGTTACCTCCTCCCCCCCCCCCCCCTTTTTTTTTTTGCTCTGTTTTACACAAGAACTATAAGAAAATAAACAAATTACCTGATTCATCTGCTGAAGAGTAGGAGCTCCTTCTTGAAGATGAACATGACGGCATCGACAAATCCATCGACGTTTCTTTAAAAGAGGCTGTATCTATTCCTCCGTCTATTCCATCTATAGGCGTGTCTCCAATAAACCTACCACCTGATCTTCCATGGAGGAAATATCTTCTGGGGGAGGACCTCCGCCTGTCTTTCTTGCCTCTCTTTTATTGTGTGCCACTTTCTTTTTGGCGTTGCTCATATATGTTGTCCATTTCTTTCGAATTTCTTCAACTGTTCTTTGGTGAAGAATTCATCTTTGTACAAATACCATCCCATGTCTTCTTCTTAATGTTATTTGTCGCAACATTTGACAGCTTGCTGAATAGTATTCCTTTATGTTTTTCAACTTCGGCCAGCATAATTTGAATTTCGATTTCGGAAAAATTTGGAGATCTTTTCTCATCATGTTGATTCAGTATACGAATTGAAATCGAGTGGACCTAAGTACAAAACTAGTTTATATAGTTAAATTGCAGCACGACAATAGTCTCTAAAAAGTTTTGAGACAATTAATTTAATCGTTTAAAGAATTTTATTCTTTCATTTTAACAGTTTATATTATGTTTCTATTATTATATGTTAAAACCTTTATTTTGTGTTTTTTTTTTCATTACAGATGAGACACCCCCCCCCCCCCCCCCCCCTAAAATAACACCAACAAAAAACCTTTAAATATATACAGAAATGCATAAAAATCTATTTCATTTCATTCACTACATATTTTATTAACTAAATAAATATGTTAGGATGGTCTTAGGACCATCGTAGTTAGGACTGTTCTAAGATAGCTTTGTTTTACATCCTAAGACATGTCTCAGACACGTCTTAAGACCATCCTAAACAATGTCCTAAGACATATCTTAGGACATGTCTTAGGATACTTTCATTGACACGGCCCCAGGCTGTATGTGTCTGAGGTTATGAATTAATCTAAATCTTTAGTTTAAACATTCACAAAATTGGAGAAATATCTTTTTGAGCTAGGTTTTCAAGGGAAATGATAATTATGTATAATTTGCTATTTATTACCAATTGATTCTTGGGGTTTCAATTTGCCGTAAGTTCAAATTTGTAAAAAGAATATGGTAAAAACTTTTTTCAAAACATCAACAAATTATGATTTTCATCTTTATGTGGTAGGATTTAAATAACGTGTTTCATTTAGGTCTTGCATGGAATTCCAAATTAATTCCCAGAGTCAAATTTTCGATGAAAAATAGTTTTTGATAAAAAAAAATCCCAAATTATTTTAAGAAACAACAGGTCGCATATGGAACAGGATCTGCTTACACTACCGGAGCACTTGATATCACCCCCGGTTTTAGGTGGGGTGTGTGTTTTGGTCGATTTTTGCTTTTGCCATGGCTATGTCATTTTTGTTTTTGACTTATGAGTTTGAATGTTCCTTTTGTATCTTTCGCCTCTCTTTTTAAGAAATTTTCTACTGTTCTAGGATTTGAACGCAATTAGTTAAGTGTATTATGTTATTCTAAATTGATTAGCGGTGTCGAATTTGCTGTAAAAACGTATATAAAAGAAATCACAAAATTTGAAAATTTACTCTCTGTGCTAGAATTTACAACTAAGATTGTAACATAGGTATCATATGTCATTCCGAATTGATCCCGGTTTAAAAAAATTATCCGTTATCGAATCTTATATATAAATAGAAGATATCCCGAAATAATTCCTAGTTTAACTTTTTTGTGTTTAAAAGTTTCAATGTCAAGCAACGTCTAAACAGCGGCGGTGGAAACAATGAATAAAACGAATAGAAGAGAGTCCTGCTTTAATTGTATTAGATACCCCAAACTAATTTTTTTACGTTCAAGCCGAAAAAGTGTGATTAAACCCTTCGCAGGATCACTATAATCGAACATATGATTTTGACTCAGATTAAGACAGTGTTAGCTGTTACTATTACTACTGTGTGATTAGCGTAAAGAAATTGACCATCCTTTTAGATTAAAAACATATTTTTGAAGATACAAACTAAGAGAGAAAAAAACCTCCTGACACCAAAGTATCTCCAAATTGAGCGAGACAGGGTATATCCACATGACAAGCGTCTGCTCTCTGCTTAATAAAAATAAGGAGATGTGGTATGATTGCCAATGAGACAACTATCCACCAAAGTTCAAATGAAGTGGTTGTAAGCAATTATAGGCATCCGTATGGTCTTCAACAATGAGAAAAAACCATACCGTATAGTTGGCTATAAAAGTCCCCGACATGAAAAATATGAAACAATTCAACTGAGAAAACTAACGGCCTAATTTATAACAAAACAATTTACGAAAAAACAAATATGACAGACATGAACTAACGACAACCACTGAACTACAGGCTCCTGACTTGGGACAGGCGCATAAAGAATGTGGAGGGTTTGTGAGCGCTTAACTCTCCCCTAACCTGCAACAGTGGTGTAACAGCACAACATGAGAACAAACTGTAAAAAATTAGTTAGAAATGGCTTCACTCAATAGATCGATACAAATCACAAAAACTAACATAAAAACAAAAGCCAAAAAACAAAAGCCAAAAAGAACCGATAAAAGAGTTCTCGTAGTTACTGAATGCAAGCTTTTAAAAAAGCCAACTAAAACAAATAAATCATTTTCTGCCAGATTAAAGTATCAATCAGTACACATCCAACGGATTTAGCGAAAATACGTCAAAAACAGTCTGAGAAATACATGAACATGTACAATTCTAAAATATAAGTAAACAGTATATAAAACCTTTTCTGCGGATTATGTGTTATATAATTTTACAAATAAACAGATTCAATATTACCTTATTTCCATCTGCAAAATGGCGAAAAACAGAGTAAATCGACGCGTGTGTGGAAAACTAAATTGGCAGTATCCTTGACTGGCCCTTATCAATATCAAATTAAGCGATTTATAAACTGGCCGAGTTTTGTTTACACGATACATAAAATAAGTAATCGTGACTGTCAAGCTCCTTTTCCTTTGTTATTTATCAAAAGTAACTAAAGATACACACTTGTTGATATGTTGGGCTCATATTATTCTACGCTCAACTAAGTCTTTCATTCTGAATTAACATATTAGTATATATCTGTTATTAATTGTGACAAATAAGTATATCGCAACTGCACCTGCACTATTACTTTAACAAATACATTTCAGATATAGAAAAAAAATGACATCAAGGAGTGCCGATATCTGCACCCTCTGTACGGACGATGGAATATCCAATAATGCAATCACGTGGTGCACAGAATGTGAAGTCTTTCTTTGTACTGACTGCGAAAAACATCACAAAAGATCAAAGGCCTCTAAAGAACATAGAACAATGCGTACTGTTGATTATCGTAACTTGCCGCAATTCATGCAGGAAACGAGCAACCGGTGCAAAGACCATGACAAAAAGTACGAGCTCTATTGTTCTTTCCATTCATGTCCTTGTTGCATTCAATGTATCGCCAGTAAACACCAAAAGTGTCAAGACCTGAAACCCCTTGATGACATTTTGAAAGATTTCAAATCGTCTGCTGCTGTTCCGATACTTAAAAAAGATTTAACAGATTTGAGAGAAAGTTTAGAAGAAGTAATGAGACACTTAAGGGACAAAATCAAAACAATCCATATTCAAAAAAGTAAATGCATTCAAGAAGTAAGGACAACGCGCAAATTACTAAATGATTACTTCGACAAATTAGAAAGGGAAATCCTTGACGATTTAAAATCACAACATTCGAAATTGGCATCAGACATGGAGGCACTGGTTCAACAAATGGAAAATCGCGCAAAACGGGTTGATCAAATGCAGGAAGACTTTTCTACCATGACTAAGTATGCAACTGAACTGCAAACATATATCGGCCTGCGTGAAATCGAAAAAACTACATCTCAAGAAGCAAAATACTTGGATGAGTTAGAGAGTGGCAGCCAGTTAAATGATATGGAGATTACCGTTTCTTCTACTGTAAAGTCCGTTTTACAAGATGTCAAATCCTTAGGAAATATCTCTGTCAAGTCGTTAACGAAAAGTTTCCAAACTAAGACTGGAAGAAAAGATCAAGCCCAGCATTTAGTTCCAATGGTTCATGGGATAGAGCAAATTAAGCCTTCGCTTTTGAACAGCTTAAGAGTTCCGAATGGTGAAAGCCTTAAACTAATTACCTGTCAGATATTACCGGATGGTACATTATTACTTTTTCATTACAAACAGAATAGCATGATTCAGTACAATAGTGATGGTACCTTTATGAAAGAGCTGATGACATTCAAAGAGCAACCATATGATGTATGCTTTGTTAAGGATAATACAGTAGCTGTCACTTTATATCGTGCTACAAAGGTGCTGCTGGTTGATGTAGAGAAGAATAAACTTATAAAAACTATAAAACTTGCTCATGGCTGTTACGGAGTTTCAAGTGATGGTGAAGTTATGATTATCAGCCATAAAGAGGCTAGAAAAATTATAATACTGAATCTGAAAGATATGTCCGAAGACATTTTAGAAGGAATTCGTGTCCATCGTATTTCACTGTTTAAAGGAAACATTTATGGCACTTATTATTATGAAGACAGAGTTGACTGCTACAGAATCACTGGTGAACTTCTATGGACATTTACTCACGAGGACATATATCAACCAGAGGGAATCGCTGTAGATATGAACGGTTTTGTTTATATAACTTCCTGCGGGAAAGATAGAATCGTGGTCCTGTCATCAGATGGTAAAATAAGTAGAACAGTTCTATGTAAGGAGGATGGAATCCTGGAACCTTATGCAATTGACATCAACAAAGAATTAGGAACAATGCTGGTTGCTTGTTGTGTGGATAAGAAGGGTAGTGCTTTCATTTTCAAAATCTAATCTAAAAAATAAAAAAAGATATTGAAAGATAAACTTTAATACCAGGATGTGTGTGTAAATAAAAAAATAAATTAGTACACATGATTGCTGTAATCTGTAATCTTTATTGATTAGTTTTTGCAGTAATAATAGAAATATTACTTAAGATTGTTTTCAAGCTAGATTGATTTCTTTACAAAAAAATATCTTTAAGAAATCATAAAGAAACAAGTACTGGAATTATTATACCCCACGGAACAAAGTTCCATAGGGTATAATGTTTTTGAACAGTCCGTTAGTCAGTCAGTCAGTTAGTTCGTCCGTCCGTCCGTCCGTCCGTCCGTCCGTCCGTCCGTCCGTCAGTCAGTCAGTCCTGTTCTTCTCATCGCAACTCCTCTGAAATCACACAACAGAATTTCATAAACTTTGTAGATAATTAGGACATAATATGTTGATGTGCATATCGATAGAAAGTTATGAATCAATTATTTTTCTAGGAGTTATGCCTCTTTGAACTTACTACTGCAACAGTTTATCATCTCAACTCCTCTGAAACCACACAACAGAATTTCATGAAACTTTGTATATAGTTAGGACTTACTATGTAGATGTGCATATCGACAAGAAGTTATGATTCAATTTTTTTTCTAGGAGTTATGCCCCTTTGAACTTAGATTTTTGGCATAAATATACTACTGCAGCAGTTTGTTATCGCAACTCCTCTGAAACCATACAACAGAATTTCATAAAACTTTGTAGATAAGGACATAATATCCAAAAGAATTTTTAATCGGTTGACTTTTGTAGGAGTTATTAGTTTGAACTTAGGAATCTGGTGAGATTTTGTCCGCCCAGTGACAATGTGGGGGGCGTGGGGTATGTGAGCGTGCTCACTAAGGTTCATTAATTTATTTTTCTTTCACTTCGCAAAATTACTTCCTTGTATCCTTTCGAAAATAAAATGATAAAATTCGTAAATTTGAAAGAAGTATCTAATAGAAAAGAAAGAATACAAAATCAGTATATGCACAGCAAAAAAACACGAACAGCAAAGGAACAGCGTATTTATTGATGTTCTTCATCTCAAAGTCACAATGAGGCCTTGAACACGGATCAGAACAACTCTGATATCACTGCAAGTTCAAGATGATCTACCACCGGTTTGAGCGGAATTCTTTGCAAACTGTCTTTTATATGTTAGAAGTTATCATTACGTCCACAATGTACTCTGTGTATATGTTAATAGAATGTGTGCACATTGTTTCTATCTAGCCGGTAAAATGATTGCAATCAATAAAGAAAAAACAGTGTTGACATACAATGAGATAGAACACAAATGACATAAAAAAAAGTTAACACATGGTACCAATCATTAATCAATGGTCTTAGTAATTGGCCAATTGGTTTGCGTCGGAACTGTAATGACTAAATTTATTGATGTCTTCTAAAGATGTGTTGCCAACACCAACTGCCGTAATGGACAAACTTTTAGGTTCCTGGCTAAATTAACATTTTAATAACAGAATACTAAACAAAACAAAAAACACATTAAACGTGTGTATCCTAATAGTTATTTGTGTCATAATTGCAGTGATGTGAATATTATCACAACTCTATTTAATGAAAAAAATCTAAAGTGTGGTTGAACCTGAACAAACAAGAAATAAACAGCCAGAAATGTTGTTGTCCCCGCAGATAAAGTCCCAAACAACATCGTTTTTGTGTGTAAATCACATTACATAAAGTGCTTGATAAATGAACTAGGTTTTGACAATTCACTTGCAACTCAACATATATTTCTAACTTATCAACATCAATTTTATCAGCAATCAAAGCAAGGCTTCAAAGTTATGTAAAACTATCTATTCTAGGGACGACTTAAATTAGATGTGGATACTTATACATTCCAAAGATCTGTCAGAAAACATACAATCTAAGTCTTTTTCATCTTGCAATAGTACTTATACATTTGACTTTTCTACCCTTCACACAAGTATTCCCCATTCCAAAGCAAAATGCAAATTCAAAGAATCGGTCCTGCTTTAGAGGCAAAACATACCAAAGGGACATTCAAACTCATAAGTCGAAAATAAAATGACAAACAATGGCATAAAAGAAAAGACCAAAAGCCAAACAACAGTATACAAAACACAACATAGAAAACCACATCAGTACTAACATCACTATGCTTAAACAAAATGGAAAAGATATAATTGACACAGAAGGAAATTAACAATATGAATCTGTATTCTCTGATGTTGACTTCAACCAATACTAGTATATTGATATCAGGTATTACACCAACAAATCATTTAGAAAATCAGAATGACCAAAATCATCACACAGTCCTATGATAGCTATCAATGTAACAACACCTGGCATAGTTAAACAGTTACAGAAAATAAACCCAAGTAAAGCTACAGGACCGTGCAGACAACATACCCTGTAGAGTCTTGTAAGAAGCAGCTGAGCAAGTTGCGCCATACCTACAACCTCAGTCAAGGAACAAGCATAAGACTATTTGCAGACGATTACTTGGTGTACAGAAACATCTAATCTCCCACAGATACCAAAATACTACAAAAAGATCTTGCATTGGTAGAAAGGTGGTCTCTAGACTGGAAAATAACTTTTAACCCCAAAAAGTGCTATGTACTCCAGGCAACCCACACCATCCGAGGGAAAATCAATCAACCATATTACCTCCACAAGACACAATTAGAAGTAAACATCCATAACCCTTATTTTGGAGTTGAACTTGACAATAAACTAAATTGGAATCAATACATCACAAATAACGTAAATCAGGCCACCAAACAACTGAACTTTATACAACGAAATTTACACGATTGTCCGCAAAACATCAAGAACAGGCATATATGGCACTAGTAAGACCACATCTTGAATACAGCAGCTCAGTATGGGATCCCCACTGGAAGAAGGATGTACAAAGATAGAATAGAAATGGTACAACACCGTGCAGCGAGATTCGTACCAAGCATCTATGAATACCAGCTAGGATTACAGACAAATATCATGCAACACTTAAACTGGCCAACTTTGGAAGAATGACGCCAGATAAACAGGCTAATAACACTCCAAAAAATAATGAACCATCATGTTACTTCAGAATTACCTATACTACACATCGAATATTAGACGAACAAGACAGTCACTCCGTGTACATAATGCAGCCAAAATGCAGCACTGTGGAGTATCAAAACAATTTCTACCCCCGAACAATCAAAGAATGGAATCTTGACAACATTGCCACAATTGAAGATCAAAAAGTCATTTTCAAACAGAAACTCTAGTCAAATTTCCATCCAGCAATGACCATAGACATAACATCACAGCTATAATCCATTTATCATGTATTTAATCTGCACCGAACACCTATGTAAATATTTTGATTGTAAATACACAATGTAAAGCACTCCTGGACTCAGAAGACATGGCATCAATGTGACGGATAAATTATTCTTTATCGATTAACGAAAGAAAAAGAAGAGAATGAGCAACACGAACCAACTGAAAACCGCGAGTGATCTCAGGTGCTGCGGAAGGCTAAGCAGATCATGCTCCACATGTGGCACCCGTCGTGTTGTTGATATAAGTACAGTCAGCAAATACATATATATGTATTATCATAATAATGCTGTATTGGTTAAACTAGAAAAACATTTTTTTTTAATCTTAAGAATGATATTTTTATTGCTACAGTATATTTTTCACCTGAAAATGCATCTGGTTGTACAGAAGATATAAATGAAGTTTATTCAATTTTGCTTAGGAATATTGAACACTATAGTCAACTCGAGGATATTGTAATTCAAGGTGATTTTAATGCCTATACTAATACTATTCCTGACTTTGTAATTTCTGATGAAGCAAAATTCCCAAAATCAGATGACAATAAGTATTCAATTGACTCTCATAATTTAAGAAATAATCTTGATTCCAAATCTACAAACAAGAGTGGAAAATTACTAATTGATTTATTTAAAGAATCAGGACTCAGGTTCTGAACGGAGGAATCATTGGGGACCCTATGGGTAAATGTACATGTATAACATATAATGGTTCCAGTCTTGTAGACTATACACTTGTGTCTTCTAATTTACTAGAATGCATTGGAAACTTTAAAGTTAATGATTTTACTCCAATTTCAGATCATTGTCCCATCAGTTGCTCTTTGCTTACTAGCTTTCAGAAATGTAAAAATAAAGGGACAAAGTTAGATCCTCTCCCCGGTAAATTTATTTGGGATAACAAAGCAATTGGTTGCTATACTACAAACATTCAAAGCCAGGCGCGTAGCAACCCGTACGCAAAAACGCAATTGCGTACACATCGAAAATTTTACAAAAATAAAATATGGTAAATCTAGTAAAAATAAAACTTAAGTAATAAATTAAATTAAAAACTATTTTACAAATTAAACATGTTAATAATCACTTTGTAGCTATATTCCGTTCCTGAAATTACTTTTCATTTACGGAACCAGCATCATGATTATATGTTGCTGATGCAAACAATTAAAATGGTCCTCGAGGTGTCAGAAAACAATTCTATGCCTCCTTACCCAGTCCTGACATCTTTTCTGAAGATTTCAAAATAACTGGCGAAATAAAATATGACGTTATGAAGAGACCATGAACACCGATTCATTCTCATGGTTTAAACTTTTCCTGTGAGGTATGTATAGTCTTAATTATATTACGTCGTCATAACAGATTTTTTTAAACAGTCCAGTCAGACTTAAGTTTAACAAGGTTGGTAAAGGGTAATTTTCGTGCATCGTGCTTGCCGTTTTTTTTAATTTAAATTGACGATCAACGAGTTTTTACTTTTTTTATTTGTACGTTCAGTTGTGCAAGACGCGGGTGCCTCGTTCAAAGTGTTCCCCTAACTTAGTTATACGTGCTTCGAGATTAAAAGTGCTTATTTTCCATGCTTCGAGATTTAAAGTCCTTGTTTTCCGTGCTTGGTAAAATTAAAAGACTATCGTTTTGGAAGTTAATAAAAAGAAATAGGAAATAAATTGATCATTTTCCTTATAGATTTCGGGACTTAAAACGTAAATATTATATATTTGCCAGTTACATGTAAAGGTTTCCAACCTATGACATGCGTTCGTTATATAGTACTTTTTTTATCAACGTTCATGGACGAAAATATTTCACGTTCACCGTGAAATTGTTTTTACTTTGTATTTAACGTTTTTTCCATGCAAATACCAAGTTTCACTTCCTCCTCCGGCATTGAGTACACATCATATTGGCCTAGCTACGCCCCTGAAAGCTCACATGTGAACAGATTCTAGATGATTTTGTAAGTGATGGGCAGACTGACTCTGATATAGCTGTGGAAAAATTTAACGCCATATTATGTGATACAGCTCTTTCATCCACTAAATTTGTTCAAAAGAGAATCGTGAATAGGCCTATCAAGCAAAATAAAAAACCATGGTTCTCGTACTACAGTTAAAAAGTACTTTTTTCTTGTAAATAATTTTCCGGATCCTATAGAAAACCATTACTCATTTAAAAGAAGAAAACCACTTTGATCAAGAATTATTTATAAGCCACTTCAAACAAATTAACAGCTCTTCTGATATCCCAAACAATAAATTCCATGATAAAATTATTGAAAAGATAAATGACTTAAAAAAGACATTAAATACACGAAACTCCGACAACGAATTTAATCAACCAATTCAGCCAGTTGAAATTCTAACGGCAGTTAAAACACTTAAAATTGGTAAATCACCAGCTGGTGACTTAATTTCTAATGAAATGATTAAATGTGGTATGCCAGTATTATTAGAACCCTTATCAAAACTTTTCAACCTGATATTTATGAAAGGCACCTTCCCAAAATTATGGAATAAAAGTTTGATCACATTGATTCATAAAAAGGGAAACAAATCTGACCCCTCTAATTATAGAGGTATCTCACTGACTTCTAATTTAGGAAAATTATTCAATAAAATTATACACACCAGACTTATGACGTTTATTAACACCAATAGTTTGATAAGTGAAAATCAAATTGGCTTCAAAGAAAAGGCTAGAACAGCAGATCATATCTTCTCATTAAAGTCAATTGTTGATAAATATAAGACCAAAAAAAAAAGAAAAATTTTGCAGCATTCATTGATCTACGAAAGGCCTTTGATACTGTCTGGAGGGATGGTTTATTTTATATTCTACTCCAAAACAGACTTCAGATTCAGATCCATTTGAACATTTACATATAAAATTTATTAAGGAAATTTTAAGGGTACAGTGCAAAACAACAAATGTAGCTTGTCTAGCTGAGACAAACAGAACTCCTTTGCACTTAAAAATTCAGTTTTCAGCTATAAAATTTCTAAACCACATTGTAAACTCACCTAATTCATTAGTCTATAAAATATATAATAATGTAGAGAAAACAAGTAAATGGGTCAACATTGTAAAAGACTGGTTAAATAAATTAGGATTTGGCCATCTTACTTTAGACCCCATTAATATAAAATATTATTGAAATACTATCCAACAATGTCAAAGAATCGTTGAACAGGCTTATCAAATTATGAACTGTTCTATCCTTAAATGTGAAAAACTAAATTTCTTTTGTAAGACTAAAAAAATTGGAAAAAGGCCCCCGTATATCGATATATATAAATTAAAAACTGACAGATCAGTTTTCAGTAAATTTAAACTGACTCAATGCCCATTCCCTAGCAATTGAAAGGAGGCGTTATACCAATATTGAAAGAAAACAACGGATTTGCCTGTCCTGTAATAGACAAGAAATTGAGGATGAATACCATTTCTTCTCCGCTCTGTCCATGCTATATATCATTGAGGGACACCTATCTCTGGGAGTATAATAGTCCCAGCCTATCTATATACAAAAACTTAATACTAAACTTAATTTCAATTTTATTAAATTGCAATTAGCTATAACACTAAGGCATATGACCACACTTTTGAATAGCAGTTTGCCAGTCATTATAAGACCTTATAAAAATCACCACAAAATATATTAATGCGTATGACTGTCTTTTGTTGAGGAAATCTGTATAATTTGATTTTTAAAATTTTTTGATATATATGTATCTTTTTTGTTCATGGACATTAATAATTGTTTATCTGTCAATACACACATATTTGTAGTCTTCTTTTTCGTGTGAATACCACTGTCACTCTAATTTAATATTATTGTCGGTTTATTATTTCAATTGTACTATACTGTATGCCATAACCATTTAATGTAAATGTTTTTGTGCTAATAAATATTGTCTATTGTCTATTGTCTATGTCTCTGCATTTGTGTTATCAACAGACGAAAATACAAAGCACTTTTTTTTATCTCAGTAATTTTAAACGTTGTAAAAAAATTATTTGAACTACAACAATGAAAAATGACGGTCACGTTCAATCGAGTATCATTTTCCTTCTACGGACCATGTATAATCTGTAGTAGCATCTAACTGTACCTATATTAGGGAATCCTACAACTGAGTCAACCAATTAAAAATGTGATGTCCATTTTTGGTCATAAATGTTTCAATATTTTGCCAGTTCAAATCAATACTTCTAGAAGCACTTTAAACACTTAACTCAATAAAATATAGCTTAAAAAAACATTGAGCATAAGATAGAAAGAATATTGTATTTAAAAATCAATTTAACATTTGGGAAATACCTTTCAAACAGGACAGATCACGTGATTTCCGGTTTCTTTGTAAACATGGAAGGACTTTAAAAAACTGAAACTCTGTTTTCAATATTAGAAGTAAGTTAAAGGTTAGAAAAACATATAAGTATTTCTGTTTATTCATTCAGATGTTATTCATTTAAAAGTGTTGATACTGTGAATAGAATTCGATCGCGATAAATTTGGTCGGCCACTTTCTTTCGAGGGACCAAGAGGGACACACCTGATGACGTCCCGGCACTGGTCGCCCGACAGAAAAAACTCATAGTGTGATGAGGATTGATGTCTATCGTTCTTTATAAGTTTTCCCAAGCATGAAATGTTGGTAGACTTGTTTCCATGTTGAAAGTGAATGTTTTGTGTTAAGAGACCACAGAAATATCCAAGATGTTTATGGAGGTACCATCAACCTGTCAAAATTATACACCTTATTAGTATTACTGTCCTTATCCAGGATATCACAGATTTTGGCTTTTAAAACAAATTGCTTGATACCACCAAACATAAATAATCATTGAATGATGTCAAAAGGTCAACAAGTATTGCAGAATGTTTTATAGCGATAAGGTTTTTTGGAAAATATATGTAACTTTCAAAAAGATCAATTATCCCTCCCTTTTTGCTATTAAGCCTTACATCCAGCAATCATGCAGCATGCTTGGCATATTTTATTTATTTAAACAGTATGGAAGTATGAAAAAAATAACAGAATATTTTCATATTTCGTCTTAAAGTTTGAAAATGCAGTAGTTAATTTTTCAGGCTACATGTATTTTTTAAAATGTAACAGAAACTACAGGCAATTCGCAAGGATTATTAAAAACCATGCAATTTCAAACTTTTTTCAAATTTTCATAAATGTATATCATTACTACAGTTGAACCGAGGTTTATAGATGTACATATGCATGAATCCTTTGAACGTGATGGAAGTATTTTGAATATTTTGGATAGTTTGAATACACTGTATGGCCATACATTTAGTGTTTCCTGCAGCTTTTGAAAAGGCAGGGTAATTATTTTCTCAGAGGGCACTCTAAGCATGATTGGCTACACTTTAAGGGCACCCCTTTGTACGGAGGACTACACATTTAGGGCACTCTTTAAATATATATAAAGGTACATTGTACTGTTCTGGATAGAGATTTAATCGAATATATCATTGTTTTATATTTATTGGTCATGTTGGTTAGAAATAAAGATATGTATAGGTTGTTAATTTAATTCTTTTTTGTAATAAAATTATCACTTCTAGCATGTCTAGACTGTCCAGCAGCTAACTAATAGAATCTTCATGTTGACTGTGCAAATGCCTCATTTCAAACCAACACTCCAGTTATAAACTTTAATACTGGATCAGAGACTGATTGTCTAAGGATGTGTTGTAAAAGTGGATTTGCATGACCACAGCATACGCAAATGCATTGCTTTTTAGATGCACTAAAGAAGTGCCAAATACCTTTTGGATCTCGCATGTTTATACCAATCAAAGCTACCTTGGATCAAAACTGTACAAATAGTTTTAGGCTATTCAAGGATTTGTATAGCAAGACTTAATATACATAATGTTGTGCTATTATTCATCTTTTTTCCATCTAATTCTGCGATTTTTGTTTGTTTTTAGCTCACCTTTTCAAAGGAAATGTGAGCTTTTCCCATCACTTGGACACTTGGCGTCCGTTGTCGTCCGTCAGGAGTAAACTATTTCAAACATTTTCTCCTCTGCAAATACTGAACCAATATCAACCAAACTTTAGCTGAATGATCCTTAGGGTATCTAGAATAAAGTTTGTGTTTTATTTTCTGTTTCGTCAAAAAACATGGCTGCCATGGCTAAAAATAGAACATAGGGGTAAAATGCAGTTTTTGGCTTATACCTCAAAAACTAAAGCACTTAGAGCAAATCTGACTGGGTTAAAATGTTCATTAGGTCAAGTTCTATCAGCCCTGATATTTCCAGATGAATCTGACAACCCATTGTTAGGTTGCTGCCACTAAATTGGTAATTTTAAGGAAATTTTGCAGTTTTTGGTTATTATCTTGAATATTATTATAGATAAAGATAAACTGTAAACAGCAAAAATGTTCAGCAAAGTAAGATCTACAAATAAGGTTTATTAGACCAAAATTGTCAATTGACCCCTTAAGGAGTTATTGCCAACCGAATAGTACAAATAGAAAATATAAACAAACATCTGATTGTTTGCGTAATCAGTGGTTAAATATTAAGTTTATTCCATGCATCGTAAAATCATAACTCAAACAATCGCCTGGTTTCCTTTTAAATTGTCTACATTTTAAATGTGTAGAGGTACAAATTGTTTTTTGTTTTATAGATAAGATTCAATCATGGAATCATTGCTTTTAGAATGTAAAAATAAAAAATGAGATCTTGAACTAGTTTTCTAGCTACATTTGTATATACATGATATACAAATAAGAAAATAAATAAATTTACTGAAACATTCTTTAGAAAAACTTTCTGAGTAACATGTACATGTATCTCACTGTGTAGTGATTTTGAATAATTATTTAAGAAATTTCCCTGAATGTACATTTTTAATATTAAATACAATGAGATGTACATGTATGTAAAATATGTGTTATTATATTGTATACCATACATCACAAGAAACACAACATCATATATGATAAGCTAGATAGTTAAATGGTTCCATATCAAGAATTGTCTGATTTTGCACAAATGCTTGAAAAAAATTTATTATATTAAAAATATCTTTTATGAATCTAGTTGCTTGTTCATTGTGCATGTACATGACAATGATGTATGGATTCAATCAATATGTCATCAAAACAACAAAATACATTTACTTCCCAAAAGTTGTGAGTGTAATGCTATAATATTCACAGAGCAGGAAGATCACACATATTATCTTGAAGAAGATAAAGTTTATCTTATGTTGTTTAGTTTTGACTCCTCATACAATGATAAAAAAAATTGTATTCTTATCAATCAGATACATGTAGGTAAGCTCTTCAGTACAGTACAGTACTGGATATTCATCTAGGATAAAATGTATGATATGTCGTAACGAGGACATTCAGTTAATTTAAGATAAAAAAAAACACATACTGATCCTCGCTTATATATATATAATTTTTTTTCTAGAAGAATCATGCCAACACAAGAAAGAATGGATGATGATCACGGAATACGTATGAAGGTTGGATATAGTGGGTAAGTAAATATATTGGATTTAATATTTTTATAAGTGAATGTTTCAATGAGACAGCATTCCAACAACATTATAAAACCCAAGTCAGACAGCTTCAGATTAAGACGGTTTTCAAATCTATTACAGAAACAATGAAAATAACACTTTATGAATTTTATCCTGCAATCAGCCAACTATTGTACAAATAACAGGTACACAAATAAATTTTTGCTTTATTTGTACTTGTACAAATAAAGTCTCCTGTTACCCCTCTTCCATGTTGAGCAAGCGGTAATGTGGATATTTCTTTTTGCGTACCAGTTCATTTTGGGGTCCTCTTCGCGGTCCGCGTTTAAACTATGTTGATTTCTTTGAAAAATTAGAGACAATGATTTAGATTTTAACAACTAAAGTTTCAAGTGTTGGGTGTAAATTTCAGGATAAAAACAATATATGTACATTGTCGGAAAATATAAAATTTATTTGTACTCGCTGCGAGCCTCGCTTTTCGTCCTGTTTCTAAAGCTCATACAAATAAATTTTATATTTTCCGACAATGTACATATATTGTATATTTATGTGTTCATCAGGAACACTCAAACCTAAAACTTTGAAAGCCAAGGATATATAAGTACCTGTACACATGAAGAGCTATAGAAGTTATTGCCATACAATATGTCTGTCTATAAATCTCTGATAGTCTGGACAAGTTAACAGTATCTTCAATAAGAACAAGAGAAAATATCCCAACAACACCAAAATATTCAATGTCATACAAAAGTATCTAAACAAAATTAAAGGTGTACACATATACAACTTGCTGTCCACCTCAAAGCCTGGGGACTATAATTAAAACAAATGTTGATAATTAAAGAAATTGGAGTGAACAGCCATCACTAGCACTTCATTTGTGAATGGCTATTTCATTATGTTCTGTAATCCCTTTGATGTAGATTCTTAACTGTGGATCACTAAAAAAGTAAGACATCTCTGTAAACATGATAGAGAGATCAAAATCTGATACTGTAAATTAATTCATATCAATCTTGGAGTTTCTTTTATATAATTACAACAACAATGATAGGAAATCAAAAAAATGTAACGAAATTGGCCTAGAATTAAGAAATATCTGTGAATAAAGTTTGTTTGCAGTTATTCAAGAGTTTGCAGTTTTACTGTATATGTAATTGTGAATAGCTTTTTATTATCCATTAAACCTTCTTTTTACTTTCAGAAATATTTTTATATCAAACCTTCAGCCTGATGTTCTGTATGAAGATTTCTGTGCTGAGATTAAAGACATTTGTAAATTTGATGACCAACAACCTTTTACCATGAAGTGGTTAGATGAGGAAGGTAAGAAAAGGTTCATGGACCCAAAGGGGATGTAGAAAGAATTGAGGGAGTAAGCATGTATATCTTCTTATTTTTATGCCCCCGTCGTATCGGAGGGGCATTAAGTTTTACCCTTGTCCATCAGTACGTACATCCCAAAATTGGTTTCCGTTCTCTTACTTCAGTTTGCCTCAACCAAATATTATGAAACTTATACACAATGCTTATTACCACAAAACACAGATCAAGTTTGAATTTGGTGGCATCACTTTAACCATTCACGAGTTATGCCCCTTTATAAATGGAAACCAATGCAAAATTTTTAGTTTCCGTTCTCTAACTTAAGTTGCTTAAACAAAATGTTGGGAAACCTATACACAATGCTTTTTACCACAAAATACAGATTAAGTTGAATTTTTTTGGCGTCACTTTAATCATTATCGAGTTATGCCCCTTTAAAAATCGAAAAATTGCAAAATTTTAAGTTTCCATTCTGTAACTTAAGTTAGTCCCAACTAAACATTATGAGACCTATACAGAATACTTATTACCACAAAACTCAGATCAAGTAAAAATTTGGGTAGCGTCACTTTTATCGTTCTTGAGTTATGTCCCTTTATAATGTTGTATGCAAGCGGGGGCATCATCTGTGTCCATGGGGACACATTCTCCATTTATTATATATAAATTTGATTACCAACAATCAACCTTTCAACATGGTTAGATGAGGACAGTAAGAAAAGTTGATGAACCCAAAGGGGATATAGGGAGAATTGGAAGGGTAAGCATGTAAATTAAGGCCTGTTTTTGAAAAGTAAAGCTTTTGAGAACTTTATCAAATGTGTACATTATGTATAGAAATGTATAAAATCTAGATATATATATGACAAAAGACCTTTCATCATGAAATTGTTAGATGAAGAGAGTAAGAAGGCATTGATGGATCCATGTATAGGGCACTTTAGATTTATTAATGTTTGTTGGGTACTAATTTTTGTGGATTTCATTGGTATAGGTGAATAGTGTAAAACATGAATTAGAATTGTTCCTCTTCAATGAAATTATAATTTTCTGTAGGTGTGTATGCTGAATTTGTTAAAACCACTTATTCAAGTACATGTATCTGCGAAATACAATTTTTCTCAATCTAGGTAAATTTGTTACCTTTGATAATTTAAACAGTACACACATAGTGATTCAATTAAAATTTACTTTTCGCAGACCAAAAACACAAGAGAAGAGGCTCTCTGTGAAATCACAACTGAATTTTTTGTGACATCATAGAATTCTACATTTTCTGTTATCTCCATTTAAAATCGACATAAATGGAAATCTGAAATCAAAAGTTCAAATTTTAGTGACAATTAAGGCCTGTCACGAACTGGTTTTTATACGACCGCAAAAAAATTTTTGTGGTCGTATATTGGTATGACGTTGGCGTCGTCCGGCGTCGTCCGAAGACACATTGGTTTTTGCACTCTAACTTTAGTTTAAGTGAATGGATCTCTATGAAATTTTACCACAAGGTTCAATACCACAAAAGGAAGGTTGGGATTGATTTTGGGGGTTATGGTACCAACAGTAAAGGAAAAAGGGGCCAACAATAAGCATTTTTGTAACTTCCAGACATAACTTGTGTGTTAGTGTATGGATCTCTCTGACATTGTACCACAAGGTTCCATATCACAAAAGGAATACTGGGATTAATTTTGGGGGTAATTGCCTCAAAATTTTAGGAATTAGGGGGCAAAAAACAAGCATTTTTCTAGTTTCATGACAATAACTTGTGTGTAAGTGTATGGATCTTTCTGAAATTGTACTACAAGCTTCCATATCACAAAGGGAAAGGTGGAATTGAGTTTGGGGGTAATTGCTGAAACATTTAGGAATTGGGGGCCAAAAAGGGGCCAAAAAACACATTTTTCTAGTTTCCAGACAATAACTTGTGTGTAAGTGTATGGATCTCTCTGAAATTGTACTGCAAGGTACCATACCACAAAGGGAAGGCTGGGATCGAGTTAGGGGGTGATGAATCATAAGGGGGTTCAAAAAATTTGGGGGTGGGGGATATTTTTTTTCTTTCCTTTTTTTTCTTTTTTTCCTTTTTTTTTTCTTTTAAAATTTTCCATTTTAAGTTGGTTATTTCTGTTTTATATTTAAAAGCAAATAATAATGATATGGTAGGAGATACACACCAAACAGGATGTGTAAATTATTATATAATAAGTATTGTGCAATAGCAAGAAATTTTCAATTGCACAGTATTGCACAATAGCAAGAAATCTTCAATTGCACAGTATTGCGCAATAGCAAGAAATCTTCAATTGCACAGTATTGTGCAATAACAAGAAATATCCAATAGCACAATATTGCGCAATAGCAAGAAATTGTGAATTGTACAGTATTGCGCAATAGCAAGAAATATTTAATTGCACAGTATTGTGCAAAAGAAGATACTTCGTATAAATTGCTTATTTCTTGACCAATTTCAATGGGGTTTTATTCTTGAATTCTTGGGGTTCTTTAATATGCTGAATCTAACCGTGTATTTAGTTTTTGGATTTTGGGCCCCGTTTTTAAATTGGTCCACATTGAGGTCCAAAGGGTCCAAAATTGAACTTTGTTTGATTTCATCAAAAATTGAATTCTTGGGGTTCCTTGATATGCTGAATCTAACCATATATTTAGATTTTGGATATTGGACCATAATAGGTGAATGTCCAATTTAAAATTTCAAAGTTCTTAGACCACATTCATTCTGTGTCAGAAACCTATGCTGTGTCAAATATTTAATCACAATCCAAATGCAAAGCTGTATCAAGCTTGAATGTTGTGTCCATACTTGCCCCAACTGTTCAGGGTTCGACCTCTGCGGTCGTATCCAGCTGCGCCCTGCGGAGCATTTTATTTTAATTGTCTTTATAGATTATAATTAATGTATCTGTTTGTAAGGACAATTTATTTCACTAGATAATTTGTAGCTGATCCTTGTACAGTATTGTAACAAATGCCATTTTTTTAAAATTTCAAATACATAGGACAAGAGGTTAACAAGATCTTAAAATTACTATTTGGAACATTATTGATATAAAAGTGTATATTAACTATGTCTTTTGTAGGAGATCCCTGTACAATATCATCACAGATGGAACTTGATGAGGCCGTCAGACTTTATGAACTAAACAAAGATTCTGAGCTTACTCTTCATGGTAATGATATAATAATGAACATATTACTATTATTATACAAAGTGCTTTTTGAAATAAAAAATAATTCTGTAATTCATTTTCATTAAAAATTTACCTATAGAAATTGAAAATATTAAACCTGTTTAAGTAGCGACCCTGTTTGACTAAATGAACAATTATACTATATTATTGGATATAAAGGCAAAATTTATTTGCTTTCTTAAGCTTCATATAGTCATGCATTACATTTTCCTTTACTGAATTTCTAAACCCGCAAAAATAATAACTCATATATCAAATTTTGATAGTGTTTTTTGTTTGCAGCATTTCCTGAAATCCAATTAATTAATCTGACATTTTTGTCATTTGTTCAACAGTCTCAATAAATAATGCATGCACACATTTTTAAATTACAATTACTTATCTTTGAAGTTATTCTAGTTAATTATTTTTTGTTACAGTTTTCCCAAATGTACCCCAGAGACCAGGAATGCCATGTGTTGGAGAGGATAGTAAGTTTCATATTAAAATTAATCTCATTGTGTATCATTGATTTATTTAAAAATTGAATGCTTCCTTTTGTAATTTTATTTGGGTGTAAAAGCATTGACAAAAGTACATTTTGTATTCTGCTCTTCATACTAAAAATGTGCACATGATCAGCACTTTTACAACCCTAAAGAATTACTTAAAGAAGCATTCAATTCATTTATATGCTACAACTATGAAATTATGAGTTATATCAAGATTTTTTGTTTGTTTTCCTATGCATCAAATGACGTCATGGCAGGAATCACATCCAGTCACGAATGCTGAATTTTATTGAGAAATACAATTTGATTTTGGAATGCCTTGTGATTGCTGTCAGTCAATCAAAAAAACAGATTTTTATGAAACATACATGAAATGTAATTATTTGTACATAATTGTCATGAATCCTTATAGTTTGAATCTATAGAAACATGTATAAATAAAACAAATACATATTTCAAATTCAAATGAAAATCCATCCAGGAATTAAATATACCTCCAAATACAAAATTGTGTTGCACTTAAAACAAATTGTCAATATTTGTATACCCAAAAGCAACCCAAAATTTTTAAAATAGTAATTTTTTAAAAGGTGCAAACCCATATCTTTTTTATCTGTTTTTTAGAGAACATGTACAGAAAAGGTGCGAGAAGATGGAGGAAACTATACAGAATGAATGGTCACTTATTTCAGGCAAAAAGATTTTCAAAGGTATTTAACATAGTTATTTCCCCTTGAAATTGTAAGTCACTTATTTCAGGCTTAAATATTCTCAAAGGTAACACAGGAAGGTTAGATGTCCTTAAAATATAGCCTCCCATTTTATTGAATAAATAATCACTTATTCCAAAAGTTATATTAAACATTTTTATGCTGTGAAAGTTGTACTATATGGTAAACTATATAATGATACATTTGTCAGCTCTCATATGTGTTGTAGATTCATTTTTGACAGAAGGATTGATGGAAAAGATGTGAACGGTTAATGTGGTCTTTGTCTTGTTCCATGCTAAAGAATCTCTGTAGTATTATATCACGGTTATCTACAATTGTGTAAATTATAAATAAAAAGGAAACTAGGTGTAGATGTATGAATGAATAAAAGTTTCTCAAGCTCAATTTCAGTCTACACAAAAAAAAAGGGGGGGGGGGGGGTAAAAAAAGGTATAGAAAGAAGTCATATTTAAAAGAAAAGAAGTATTTTTTGTCAGATTTAAACATACATTTCATGATATTGTTTGTTTATAAAGTAATTTAGTAACGTTAGTGTATTAATTGTTTGTATCTATTCAGATATTGCGTTCATTAATGATGATTTTTGTTTCCTATTTTAGAAAGCCTTTTGCTCATTTTGCGCAGATAGAATATGGGGCCTTGGTCGTCAAGGATACAAGTGTATACAGTGTAAACTAACAGTACACAAAAGGTGCCATAAATTATTAAAAGTTGTCTGTGGTGCTCCAGTAGTGGTAAGTTCATGAAACACAAACAAAAAAGCTATTAGATTAAACTGTTTGTTATAGACAACCAATGACTATATTTGCTTTAGACTTCACCAATTATTTTATGACACTTCTTAATTCCAAATGTGAAAGTAAAATAAAACTCATTCATTTAAGAATATTAAGGAATCTAATTTAATTGTATCATACAAGAAAAGTTGATTTTTGTCAGAGACAAAGGATTAAAAGGTGCATACATAAACAATACAGATAGATAATTTGAAAGAAGATATGTTAATTGATATTGGTAGCTTAAAATATTTTATGTTGTTTTTCAGAATCAAAATGAAGGTCCAAGACCTGATGTAAAGTATCAACGTCCACCACCCAAGTTAACAGATGGCCAGGACTATATAGGCCTCAAAGACTCAACTAATGGTGAATCTTCAGGTACAAACACCGGTCTTTATCTATTGAATGCATATTTTGATATTTATATCTCCTATACCTGATGGCTCAGAGGATATACAACACTAACAGGGAATATGAGCCCATATACCCTGTGAAGATCCCAAATAAGAAATATTATCCCCAGCTTAGTATATTTCTCGGATGTTTGATTGGCTAATGGCCGTCGTTAAAAAATCATAGCCACGGGTGTTGCTACTCATTAACTCTGGGAACTTCACGCGCGTTTTCCTTAGTTCCGTTGTTAATCCCAGTGAAAAATTGAAGTCTGTCTGTAATTGAAGATGTAATCCATTAACATAGGCCACGAAATGATAAATGTAAAACAATTCAAACGAGAAAACTAACGGCCTGATTTATGTACAAAATAATGAATGAAAAACAAATATGATATACAACAACAAACGACAATCTTTTAATAACAGGCTCCTGACTTGGGACAGGCACATATAAATGTGGGGGGGGTTAAACTAGTTTGAAGGTGCCAACCCTCCCCCTAACCTGGGACAATGGTGTAACAGTACAACATAAGAACAAACTATAAACATCAGTTGAAAAGGGCTTAACTCATCAGATCGATACAAAGCAGAAATACATCTAACAAAAACACAGAGTGGACGTGGCAGGGTACTTATACATCCCCACAACAAAAAGACACTAAGTACAGATCTGAGAGTACTCGCAGTTACTGACAGCTAGTTCAAAGCCAATAACAACTAATAAAAAAAATCATGCATCTAAGACTAAACTATCAATCAGTACACATCCAACGTCCAACTACAGTTATGAATGTAGATAACTTATAATAATTTTCAATACAGATTTCTATCTTAATGTAGTAATGACTATACTTAATTATTTTACTCAAAAAAGTGTTTAGAGAATCATTTTTTTTTAAACTTTTCTAACACAAATTTCTCCAAATCAACTGATTTTGACACAGAAAGTTGCATTGAGATCTGGGACAATGAGACAGGTGCCATAGAAGCTAGAAATATTGTTATGTATCAATGGAAAATAATCTGTTTGCTTGAAAAGTTTCTAAAATGAAAATAGGATACAAAAGATTAGTGAAAGGTGCATATTGAGTATTGTTTAGACACTTGTTAAATGTTTAAAGACTGTATGTGGACCTCTAGATGTCTATTGTTATATCCCTGCTCTAGGAGTTGTGTCTATGTTGCGTTCACCTTGTCTGTTCGCCTGTTGTCTAACAAATAGTTTTGTCACATTTTTCTCAGATACTATTGGACAGAATTACTTTATATTTTGTCATCAGCTTGACAGTGATAAGTTTAAAAGTGATAGCAATTTTTGGATCTGTTTGACATCTACTTCTGGTATTCTGATACTTAAACTTACAAGTTGGGGTATGCTTTTTTATTCATATACAGTTAGTTCCTTATTATTTGTAGAATACTGATTGAGGTTAATCAAGTACATGGGTATTTCCTTTTATGCAGCGTTTTTTCAAACCACAAAAATTGAATATCCACATAAATACATTTTTTCTCAATCCAAGAAAATTTGAACCAATGAAAATGAATACATAGTAATAATGTGTTTGGTTTATTTCAGATCATGTTGCTTCTATGGAAGTCGTCACAGGGGTATGTGTATTGTTGAATCACTGTAAAAATTCATTTTTGACCATAAAATCTCTAATTGATACCTCAAACTCTTATAGATTTCTCAAAAGATATAGTGTTTTAAAGCCTTTTGTAATGCAAATACAAAACAAATGTATTCCTTTGGTCGGATAAAAGGGTAGGAAATCTACAAAATATAGTTGATGATTTTTATACTTTAATAATATTTTTAGTGAAAAATGATGTATATATGAATAAACACCTTTATATTCAATGTTATTTCTATTTATATTTTATTGATCAAATATGTTTGATTAAAAAAATCAATATGAGGCTTCAGACCTTATGCTGTACATGTTACATTAAGATAGCATCTGAATCTTATTTTGACCCTCAAATTTTGCTTATCAGTCAAAATAATGTTAAATTTTTTTTTCTCAGAAAATTGCAATTTTAACCATGAATTTATATTTATAATTTAAATAACATCCAATTCTTTATTTAACCAAACTATTTCCCAATCATATGAAAAGTACCTACAGTGATTGCATTATTAATATTGTAACTTACTGTAAATTCAGAAATTATTGCAAGGTTTTTATTAATGGGACAGTATCAGGTTCGCAATAATAAAAACACTTACAATTTCAGAAGTGATTTTTCTTTATAAAATGTTTACAATCACATTGATTAACTTTCACATTTTTGTGAGTGGTCAAGGATTCACAGTAATATATTCATGCATTAATTTCTGAGTTTACAGTATATGCACATTAAGACACAAGAAATCATTGTTACAAACAGTTAAGAAAACATATAAACTCAAAATGTAGACAAAGAAATATTTTTGGATATCAAACTATCTTGCTGAAAGTTTTTGTATTGTTATTCAGACAGAGGAGAGTGAAGTTAGGAGTGAGGTATATTTTTATTTGTATGATTGTTTCATGTTTTGTATTGCATGTTAAAGATATGGCTTCCATGTTCATTCTCAGCAAATTAAGTGAAAATAAGATTTGTATGCCCCGCCTACTATAAAAGAGGGGCATTATGTTTCTGGTATGTGTGTCTGTCTGTTATTTCGTCCATTTGTCCGTCCTGTATCAGGTTAAAGTTTTTGGTCAAGGTTGTTTACCTTGAAGTTGTGAACATTGTGATGTGAACTTTTTTAATGTTATGCCAAATTACAGTTTTGAACATAATTTAACGGTTCACTGAACAACTGAACATGAAGATGTGATAATGAGCAGAGCATGGTGTCCTATGGTTTTGGTACAGTAAAGATTTGAATAATAATAAAAATTGATATTAGATGTCTGAATTTTACCAGATGATAGATACAATAGGGGCAAGGCAAGCAGAAACAAGGGACAGTTACCATATGAAATAAGGAGATGTTGTATGATAGCCAATGAGACCAAATGATGTATATGTTAGCAGCTAAAGGTCACTGTACAGCCTTCAACAATGAACAAAAAACAACATAGCAAGCAATAAAATGCCCTGACATGACAAAATATAAAGTAATTTAAATGAGAAAACCGACGGCCTGATTGATGTACAAGACAACAACAAAAAAACAAATTAATATACAAAAACCAGTCAATTCTTTTAAGGTTTAACATGACTCTTTTTGTTGCACCTCCTATAATCTGTTATGGTTCTTACAGTACCACAGAAAAAAAGTAATTAAAAAATATCTTATAAATCTCCTGTTTGGTCAATTCACTGGCATTTGTACCCTTCTTTTGTTTTTTTTTGGCTTTAAAAAAGTCGATTCAGTCCTTAAAGGAGTTTTGGAAGTTAAACATTAAGGGTTCACAGTCTCTGATTAACAGATTCGTGTGATTATTGCTTTGTAAAGTTGAAGCTTTCAAATGAATAATGCCTGCTTGAATGTTAAAACATATTTAATGGAACTATTACCCTGCTAAGATATATATTGTACTTTGTATTGGTTTCAAAATTTAGCTGTAGATTATTCATTTTTTGTTATACCTGTGTTATATTGTCCAACATGGAAGCCATTTGATAGGAAGATTTGCCAGTGTACAGCACCATTTTATTTGCCAGGCTACAAAATTGTATTCAGTTTAATCTGTTTAACTTTTAATTTACATTAAATTAAATGTTTATTTAATGAATAATAGATTTCAATATTTTTTCTTTAATACAAGATTTTTTATATATGCATTTAAATGTCTATGTATTTTTTATTTGATCATTTGGTGGCACTAATGCATACTACCAGGTAACTCACAACTTAAGGAGGTATTCAACAGTTTGGTGAAATTATGTATTCATATCATTTAATTAACCTTCCTGGTTTTGATGTGTATGATAGAGACATATTTATTCAAACTAACAATTTTTTTTAAATTATGAAAATAAAAACAGCAAATTGCACACAAAAAATCCAATACAAGAGATGATGTCTGCATGGAAAATGTGTTTATACTAAATAAAAGGCATTTATTTTTTACCATGTTATTAAAATGTTTTGTGGCTTTGTAAAGATTTATCTCCCTTATATGTATTCCCTGAAATCATTGATTGGCATTGTACATCTTCCAGAAACCTCAGAATGTTGGGAAGTTCTTTTAAGGTGGTACCAAACACCTGACACTAAAATTAATTTGGCTCGTTTTAATTTTCATAAAATTTTGACAAAATATTTACTTTGACCCTTTGACAAAAATATAAAAATTTCAAAAAACTTGAACCACACACTTTATTGGAAAAATTTCATTGGATATATAGCAGTTTGACAAACACTAATTTTGATCATTGAGAAGCTTAATATTTGCTTAACAATAGAATGTGATTAAAATGTTCAGCTGATTTTTACAGAGTTATCTCCCTGTAGTGTTATGCACAGCCTGTAGTACTTGTAATGTTCATGTCAGCTTAAAGAGAAAGAGAAGGAGAAGCTAATTTTAAGATTTGTCTATCCAAAACTTACAATGTATACTATAACTAAACTTTGAGAAGGGAAGGAAATGAACAGATTTTGTCAGTTTTGTTTAAACCTGGACACACACAAATATGTAACACAAAAAAAATACAACTTGAGAAATGAATACTAAAGTAAATATTAAAACATACAAGCCATTTTCTCTATAAACACAAACTTTTATGAACTTTTGCTTTACTTGTAGATATGTAAAAAAGATAAAAAGAGGTCATGAATTTGAAATGGAAAATGGCAAAATCTGTTAAAAGTTTATATAATTTATCATGTTTATTACTCAGAAGTTTTAGCGACATATCATTCTGTGGAATACAACTTTACATTTAAACATGATTTCCCAAAATTGATAATTAGTTAAATAAAAATGTTGACTAATATTTCAGTCAACCAATGGAAATGAAGCTGGTAGAATATCGTTAGAACAGTTTAATCTCCTACGTGTGATTGGGCGAGGAAGTTATGCTAAAGTGCTAATGGTGGAACAAAGAACAACACAACGTGTCTACGCAATGAAAGTGATAAAGAAGGAATTAGTTAATGATGATGAGGTAAGATTTTTAGCTCACTGGGAGAGGAGAGAAAAATTTGAATAAAAAAATTGTATGATAGGAAAAAAAAAGTTCAACAGGTTAATTTAAAGTATGGGTTTTTCTCATTGTTGAAGGCCGTACGGTTGCCTATAATTGACTTACTTTATTTGAACTTTGGTGGATAGTTGTCTCATTGGCAATCATACCTCATCATCTTATTTTTATATTAATCGTTGACACAGTAAAACAAGGTATATCTAGGTCATTAATTGAGTACCCAGGGGGGGTGGGGGGTGACAAATGTAAAAATAAAGTGTGATCAAAGTGTGTTGACATTAAAGCTATGCCCTGGTATAGTAAAATAAAATCTTTGAATTTTTGCTGTGATGTCTTTCTTTAACATTGAAGAAAGATGTCACAGCAAAAAATTTAATATAGCCTTACAAGACCTAATTATCTGGACTAGCCATTAATCAACAGTCATGTGATTTCATGATCATTATAAAGTGCCAGAGAAAACTAAAAGAACAATTTGTTCAGTTTCCAGTTTTTAATTTCTTAAGACACCTTTGTGAATTTCTAGGTTGGTTAAAACAGAAACAGTGTTTATAATATTTTCTGTATATAGTTAATTCTTTCCATTATGAATGATTATTACCCAATGTTTTATTTCAGGATATTGATTGGGTCCAAACAGAAAAACATGTGTTTGAAACAGCAACAAATTATCCATTTCTTGTTGGTTTACATTCCTGCTTCCAAACAGACAGCCGGTGAGTAAGCAATTACAGACAGTCTGTGAGTAAGCAATTACTGACAGCCGGTGAGTAAGCAACTACAGACGGCCGGTAAGTAAACAATTACAGACAGTCTGTGAGTAAGCAATTACAGACAGCCGGTTAGTAAGCAACTACAGACAGTCTGTGAGTAAGCAATTGCAGACAGCCGGTAAGTAAACAATTACAGACAGTCTGTGAGTAAGCAATTACAGACAGCCGGTAAGTAAACAATTACAGACAGTCTGTGAGTAAGCAATTACAGACAGTCTGTGAGTAAGCAATTACAGACAGCCGGTAAGTAAACAATTACAGACAGTCTGTGAGTAAGCAATTACAGACAGTCTGTGAGTAAGCAATTACAGACAGCCGGTAAGTAAACAATTACAGACAGTCTGTGAGTAAGCGATCACAAACAGTCTGTGAGTAAGCAATTACAGACAGCCGGTAAGTAAACAATTACAGACAGTCTGTGAGTAAGCAATTACAGACAGTCTGTGAGTAAGCAATTACAGACAGCCGGTAAGTAAACAATTACAGACAGTCTGTGAGTAAGCAATTACAGACAGTCTGTGAGTAAGCAATTACAGACAGTCTGTGAGTAAGCAATTACAGACAGCCGGTAAGTAAACAATTACAGACAGTCTGTGAGTAAGCAATTACAGACAGTCAGAGAGAAAGCAATTACAGAGAAGTTTAGATAAAGTACCACAAAATCAAACTACAGCAACGTTTGCTCAAATCATAAAAAAATTAAAAAAAGGAAGATGTGGGACATATTTATATATATCAAGGAGATAGCAAACCAACAACATGAAAACTGTCAAAGTTGATCTTTTTTTACTTAGTCAAATTAAATAGGAAACACCAGTTCTAAATTTGTATGGCACCTGACTTTTGTTTAGCAAAGGAAAAATATGTTGTTTACATTATATGCTTAATTAATTCAATAACTACCATTCATCTAAAAACATGTTAGGGAAGTCTAATTTTCTAAATGTAATATGAATTTAGGCCACTCTTACAATGCTTGGCTTATTTATAACATGATTGCTTGTCCTAGTGTTATGACAGTCCTCAAGCAATTAACTATTAGAATAGATAAAACTATGTCAGACAATAGGTCTCAAGACCAGTGTAACTATTTGATTTTGAGACAGCATACACATAATGAGATGCATTTTGAATGTGGAAGGACATAGACGTGAATAAGTACTTGTCACCATGGGGATTCTACAAAGAGCAATACCCCTTATTTATAGTAAAGGTCTGATGATTTTCAACATATCTCAGTAGGACATAAAAATTTTTTTTCGATTAAATAAATATCCAAGTAGATACTGAAATAACTTTATTTTTCCAAAATAATTGATATATTTGTATAGAGGAACAATTAGGATTTCAACAGTTTCTATTGAAAAAATCCTTTTAACTTGATCAGGGACTAAAATTAGAAGAGATAAGACTTTTCTCCTAAAAGAATGACACAATGTTATTGGTTGAACATTTATTGTTGAAGTATAGATATTATTAAAGGCAATTTCAATGTTTTGTATGTTTTTGAAAATATTATTTATTATTTGATCATTGTTTTCTTTTGTAGGTTATTTTTTGTGATAGAATTTGTGAGTGGTGGAGACTTAATGTTTCATATGCAAAGACAACGAAAATTACATGAAGAGCATGCAAGATTTTATGCTGCTGAAATTTGTCTTGCCTTAAATTTCCTTCATGAAAGGGGTAAGCATAGTCAGTGAAAAGCCAATTTGTGATTGTATTATCATGATTATGGTATTATCTGTGCTTCAACTTCGGATTTTTACACTACAAAAACAATCAATGGTAATAGATAATAAATTGTTTAATAGATATTTTATTATTTATATTGTACTTCCAACTGCAGTGAACAATTATATTGTACTTCCAACAGCAGTGAACAATTATATTGTACTTCCAACTGCAGTTAACAGTTAACATATATATTGTACTTCCAACTGAAGTTAACATTTATATTGTACTTCCAACTGCAGTTAACATATATATTGTACTTCCAACTGCAGTGAACATTTATATTGTTCTTCCAACTGCAGTTAACATATATATTGTACTTCCAACTGCAGTGAACATTTATATTTTACTTCCAACTGCAGTGAACAATTATATTGTACTTCCAACAGCAGTGAACAATTATATTGTACTTCCAACTGCAGTTAACAGTTAACATATATATTGTACTTCCAACTGAAGTTAACATTTATATTGTACTTCCAACTGCAGTTAACATATATATTGTACTTCCAACTGCAGTGAACATTTATATTGTACTTCCAACTGCAGTTAACATATATATTGTACTTCCAACTAAAGTTAACTTTTATATTGTACATCCAACTGCAGTTAACATATATATTTTACTTCCAACTGCAGTTAACATATATATTGTACTTCCAACTGCAGTTAACATATATATTGTACTTCCAACTGCAGTGAACATTTATATTTTACATCCAACTGCAGTGAACATTTGTGTTGTACTTCCAACTGCAGTGAACCAGTACTACTTTTTGCAATTGGACATTACTTGTTTAAATTATAAAAAAAAAATAGGTCAGTAACCTTTGTCACATTGATAATATTTTGTTTTATATAGGTATAGTGTACAGAGACTTGAAGCTGGATAATGTGCTGTTGGACCATGATGGTCATGTAAAGTTAACAGATTATGGAATGTGTAAGGTAAGATCAGAGGTCAACATTGAACTTGATGTCTTCTTTCAATATTGCAATAGAGTATTGAAATTGAAAAAATAATTCAGTGTTATATAACAAATGTTGGTGAATAATGTCATTAGTATTAAATGATAAACATGCCATTGGGATGATTTTTAAAATAACTTTTATGTCTTGAAATTCATTACTATGACTGATAAATGTGAAGCCTGTTAAGAATTTAAGGATAAGGTAAATTTTGTTGACAATGATTGATGTATAAACCATAGCTTTGTTGTAAGATTGATATTGTTGAGATGATAGTCTTGCAGTCAATTCAGTTCTCATCAATACATGTTTAATTCTTTTTTGTTATTCATTGAAGTTGATTGAGCACCAATTTTGAACTCGGGTATATTAATAAGATTGATCTCAACTTTGCACCAGATAATGAAGTTAGCAAAAACAATCAATTTTGGCTTTTGATGTCAAACACTTTATGTTGTGACACTGATTGGTAACAGCATAATGTCTTATTTTCTTTAATATCATACACACTTGAGATTGGTATATTGTCTGCAAGCAGGGTGTTTTTACAGTATTAATTACTGATAACCAAGTAATTTTTGAGAGCGATTTATTTTTTGCGACTTTCGCAAGTAGAAAGATAATGCAAAATAAATCGTCACGAATGTGGATCTTTCCTAATTCAACTACTTCAAGTAAATAGAAAAATCTTTAAATTCTCAAAATTATCCCCTTCACGAAAAGATTTATAAAAAATCAACCACATAAATGGAAATTGCTCACTGACAGTGTCTAAATTTACAGTATTAAGAAACTGTTATGATTTAAACAACATCTTTTCTGTTAATTGTCTTGTTTTTTTTTCACTCTTTGATGATATCGAAAGAAAGTCTAGCTACATGTAAAAAAACCCAATTATTAATTATAAGACAATGCTGAAATGATTGATAAAGGTTAATAGTAAAATGGTTGTGTATTATCTAGGAAGGTCTACGACCCGGAGACACAACCTGTACTTTCTGTGGTACCCCTAATTATATTGCTCCAGAAATCCTAAGGGGTGAAGAGTATGGTAGGTCTGCTATAGTGGGTGTGGTCTAAATCTGTCAATCAAGTATAGCTTCCTGTAAAGTGTTTGATATCAGAGTGGGTGTTACTTCAACCTACCAGTCAATAATATATCCATTTACTGTTACTTTGATATCAGAATGAGAAAAAGAGAAAATCAGAGACAAAAAGATTTTGAAAAAGATTTAAAAAAAAGGAAATTTTTTTTGTAGTATTTTTTCAACATAGTAACGTCCTCATTTTTATTTTTTAATTTCGCATACTGTTGTAAACAAAGGAGGCTATGCTTAATTGAAACATTTTCCCACTGGGTATCCATGGTAACATTTCTTTAATTTTACTTTGTTTAATATAGTTTTAATTTAATTTTACAGTAGCACTATCTAATTTATTTAGAACAACCATAATAAAATATCACAGGTAGTCAGCGTTAAAATTCAAAAGGCCTAATAGCAGGGGGAAGAAGTTCTATTTATAGTGTTAAAGAAGTGCTATATAGAAAATAGACGTTGATCTGGAAGTTTACAGATGAAAAGTCAGTTTTAGATTAAATTTTTATACCTTCAATACTAGTTCGATCAATTACCAGAAAGGCCTTACAATTGGAATGAAATTGCGGACGCAACATGTTTAGGAGATGGTGCCCCATCAAGCAATATATTCTTTATCAGACGGCTTTAGGACATTTTTCACTTACCTGTGCTATTTTAACATTTTCAACACTCTTAATTCAGGATCACTGTTATCTGTATAGTGCATAGGTACTTTGATCCTTGAATTTGGAGTCTTAGCTCTTGTCTATTAGAATTAAGTAAAAATTGAAACATTGTTTATAATTAGTGTATTTCAAAATAATTTCAGATTTTTAGGACTAATTTGTTGTTTTTATGAAATAAATAAAGTTTTTTGTATAGGAAAGCATGTTTTAAATGTTAAAAAGTCTTAAATTTTTAACAGACTTTAAGAATTTTTAATATGATATATATTTGGTAATAAATTATACACATGTTTCAATTTACTGCCAGATTCTGATGAATTCTATTTATTTCAAGCAAATTCGTATTTCAAATATCACATTTTGGGTGTAAATAGTTTGTGAAATAATAACTTAGAAGAAGTCAAAGGATTTTGCATATCATGAATTTTATCAAATTTAATTTTTTTCATTTTGCAAATTGTAATTTAAATTTTATAGATTTGATTTGAAATATAATTTGTTTGTTTTCTGATTAGCTTTGTATTGACCTTACCTAAGAACAATATTTACCAATATTTCAGACAAAGGTTTTAAAAAAAAATTAAGGAATTATCCATTCATAATTTGTTATTGACTCTATCCTATATCTATCTAGGCAGATTCTCATAAATTACTACCATTAATTAAACTTCAACTGAAGTGCCTATTTCCTACCCCCTTTATACTTATTTGTTTAAAAGCCCTGAAAAATTGGTAAATAGTATATAAGCCTCTTGTAGTGTTCTTAACTTGTCAGCTTTTTTAACATTATAATTTTGCTTTAAAAGGAAGGTCTAGTTCCGGGTGATAGAACTAATACTTTCTGTGGAACACCGAATTACATCGCACCGGAGGTGTTACGTGGAGAAGAATATGGTATAAACATTTCTCTATATTCTCACTGTTGTGTATGAGCAAGCATTTGCAGCAAAAACTTTTCATCTATTAACCAAATTTCTTGAATCAATTCCATTCAAACTGATACATGGTTATTTGACATCTACATTTTTGAGGAAACTTATCCCAAGTCAAGCTGTTGCACTTCAACGATTTTGATTCAATTTTTTTTTAGTACCTTATTTTAATTTGATTTGGTTAATACATGAATGATGATTGTTGTAACACTTAACAGTCAGCGATTGCTTTTGGTTTTTTTCTTGCCTTTCAATTTTCTAAATTTGCCTGTCTTTGCATGTTTTTGTTAGATCTGCTCTTTATGGTGCTAGTATCCAAGTATATAAGTTTCATTTGAACATTGTGTAAAATTATAGTATTTGTGACACTGATTTACATTAATTGAGTACAATAAAGAACCTGTAAATTATGAAATAATGGATTTCAGAACTTTTTAAGATTTGTTTTTGTCTTTGCAAAAAAAACAGAACTCTGTTCCAAAAATGAAAGTCCATTCACACACACATTACTTTTTAAATTGTTGTTTTATATTGGCTTTTGACATATTTGTTATCAGCTTTGACAATTTAATGGTATCCTGAACTTGAGTGATTCTGAAAACAGTACATTTGTAAGGTGGGCAGTCAAAAAGTTATTTCTGAAGACCAATCCCCAACAAATCCTCCATTACTGTTAATACTCCATGGATGCAGCAGTCATCTCAGATACACCTTTTTATGCCCCCGTCACGGACATTTAGTGTCGCCCTTGACCTTCCATCCTTCCATCTTTCCCTCTTTTTTCTGTCCTTCTGTCTATCTGTCCGTCCATCTTTCCGTTTCCATTTTCGTTTGAAAAGCAAGCTTGAGTGAAGGCATTTGTATCCTCTGACACATTCTTCTTTTATTAACCCTTAATTTGGGAAAGGTACTAGATAAGTTTGTTACAAATTTAATGTCTTACGACAAATGTTTTGGTAAAAACCCTTCCATAGGTATGCTTAAAAAGAAGTTTTTCTTCCAAATTTGTTTCCCTTTATCACACCATTCAAAATGAAACAACTCTTTGTCAGTACTGGAACCATGTACTACTCACAGGGTACCAGTCTTCATTTAATTTAATTATTCACTCATCAATCATGTTGATATTGTTCAAAATTTGTATCACTGAAAAACTCATGAGTTAAATCTTTTTCAGTATATAACTAGAACACACCCGTGTGTGACATATACTATTGGTATCAGATTTTATCTGGAACTTGTTAATTATTTGTAATATTAATTATGTGGGAAACAAAAGGGCTTGGAATGGTGTAATATATAATCAACACCATTGTCCTATATTAGTTATATATAAAGTTGAATTCTTTGATTCATCGTTTTTACATCAAGCCGGCTAACAAATTGGACCTCATTGTTTTAGTAGTATAAATGATAAACCATTGTGTGCTTTTGTCTTGATCTTGGCTTACCACTAACTGAAACCAACACATTAAATCTCTAGCATAGATAACTATCTGGTGTACCATTAAACTTAAATAGCATGATGCTTGAACCAAAAGAATTATCAATGCAATCATGGAATATTAAGATTTATACTACTCATAATGTATGTAATAAATGCATGTTAGAAATTATGTTGAACAGCCACTGGATATTAAACAAACAGCAATCAATCAATCAATCAAGTTGAACAAATATTAACATAAAACACTATAACCAATATTTCATAAATAGAAACATAGATATTGAATTAGCTATTCAATTGTTTTCTTGTGATTTCAGTTCTGTATTGCTTTATTCATGAATAACAATTCCTTATTCTATAAATTAATAGACCCTTTTAAAGAATTATGTTGAAATTTGAAATTTTCTAAGTAGCCATAAGTTGAATAAATATTGAATTGTGTTTGTCACAAAACTTCTTGATCTGTATTGTACATTACCAGGTGATAAAATAGTCTTGTTATTCTGCATCAAAATTGTTTTGTCTTGTATGGGTTCATATACATCTAATACTTTAATAATGTTAACAATTTTCACAGATTTTAGTGTAGACTGGTGGGCATTAGGGGTACTTATGTTTGAAATGTTGGCTGGCAGATCACCTTTTGATGTAGTCGGAGGAGCAGAGAACCCGGACCAAAACACAGAAGACTACCTCTTCCAAGGTAAATTATTGTTATCTGCAAATGCAGTGTCAAGGGTAGGTGGGTATTCATAGCTGTCAACCAGGAGAGTAGGTGTATAACACATAATTGTTAAATATCCGTTGATTTAGTTAGTGGAACAGAAAATTCAGACCAAAAAATTGAAGTCAATCTTTTTAAAGGGGAGATATTGTAAGCTTAAAACTAAGAGCCAAAGGTAGAAAATCAGAGCTGTGGATGGACCAAGAGATGAGTAGGGGTATAAAATGTTAGCTTGTAGGTGGAATGGTAGGTTAGAATTCTTTTGGGTATATAATCAGATCTTTGAGCCAGAAGGTTGATAATATATGAAATGTTAACTGTTAGATTGTACTTGATATGTGAATTTGGTGAAAAGGTCAGACTAAAATATTCAAAGACTACCCTTTCAGTCATTTACTTACCTCCAGTGGTTATCTCCATTGTCTTCTATGCCTTTCATTACACAGTCTAAAGGAAAAAAAAAGCCTAGCTGGCTCAAATAATTTTGGAAAACCCCCATCAATCAGTGTAGTAAGTGGAGTGGAAAAACCAAAATGTTCAAGAATATATCATTAAAAGAAAAGTATAAATTGAGTTGAAAACTCATGGGTTTGGAGAATAAAATCAGGACTGAAAACTCCATGGTAAGGGTTAAAAGGCTGAAATTTGATTGAACAAGTGTTGACATATTCATGTAAGAAGAAAAACCTAGATGTTGAGATCTGTGAAACATGCAAGATAAAAACAGAGAATGAATTTCATTACTTGTCTAATGCAGTAACAGTGTGAAAATAGAATTGTTTAGTTTGTTTGAAGGTTTAGCTGCTGAAATTATTCCTCCTTTTTAAAGCATGAAAATAAAAGGCTTTTCAGCTGAAACATATACCGGTACGTTACTGTATTTTAAAGGGGGATAGGACACTTCGTTCAATATGTCAGTGCATCAGAAAACTGGAGAAAGTTTATTTCTATTCCTCCTAGTAAATGAATGGACTATTATTTGGAGTTTTCCAATAATCTGTGTGCCAATATTTTCGTGAATGTATGGCATTGTCAACACTCAAAAGATAAATGTAATGACAGAGTTATGTTATTTGGTAACACATGACCATTATTTCTTTAATTTTTACAGTTATATTGGAAAAGACGATAAGAATTCCAAGGTCATTGTCAGTGAAGGCAGCATCTATACTTAAAGGATTTCTTAATAAGGTGAGAGGCAGTATTACTTTAAGTAAAATAAGTCTTGTCAATTTGAAATTTAAAAAAATGGCATGTTGACAATACAATTTTTCTTAGCCTATGTTGGCTCCCTGTAAGAGTAACCTTAGATAACAAGTTTTTGTTCAATATTAAAGTTTTTGTATAACATTATGAAGACTATAATAAATTGAAACTGTAAATAGCAAAATTGATCATCAAGGCTAACCTGTGCTAGGGGCCCTTGTAAACTTGCAGTGAGGTGAGAGCTTTTTTGCTCTGTGTTGAAGAGATCTTTGAGATGAAGAACAGTCAGTAAAACAGTCATTGTTCCTTTATAAAAATAAGGAGATGTGGTATGATTGCCAATGAGACAACTATCCACCAAAGTTCAAATGAAGTGGATGTAAGCAATTATAGGCAACAGTACGGCCTTCCACAATGAGAAAAACCCATACCGTATGGTTGGCTATAAAAGGTCCCGACATGAAAAATATGAAACAATTCAATTGAGAAAACTAATAGCCTAATTTATAACAAAACAATTTAAGAAAAACAAATATGACAGACATGAACCAACGACAACCACTGAACTACAGGCTCGTGAATTGGGACAGGCACATAAAGAATGTGGCGGGTTAAACAAGTTTGTTAGCGCTCAACCATCCCCCTAACCCGGGACAGTGGTGTAACAGTACAACATAAGAACAAACTATAAAAATCGGTTGAAAAAGGCTATGTATTGGACTACTTAATTGTTGATTATTGTACTTTTTGATATTAAAAACATTTGATTATCCCCTGTTTATGTGTACCTTGCAATAATCTAAATTTTGTACAATAAATAATCCAAGAGTTCTAATGTCAAAAAAAATTATCATTTGACCTCAAAATGAGTGATTTATCTATCAGTGGTGTTTGGTCAGGAGCTGGATATTTTTTTCATATTTGGTTTCTTGGGTTAGTTGTTCTTTTTATATGATTGACTTTTAAGGTAAATAAAGTAAAATATGCAATGAGCTATATGTCTCACTTTGTCTAGATACAATTTTGTTCATAACGTCTTGACAACACCTATGGTTGTATTACAACATATGATAAAAACTTCACGATTTATTTCACATGTGAAATATCTGTTTATATTTGAATGTGAAACCACCCTATTCAAATTTAACCATAATTAATGAAAAGCGATGTTTGTTTTCTGTTAACAGAATCCCGTAGAACGACTTGGTTGTCATCCACAGACAGGATTTAGTGACATCATGTCACATCCATTCTACCGTTCTATTAGCTGGGACCAGTTAGAGCAGAAACAAATCAAACCACCCTATAAACCAGAGCTGAAGTCAGACAGGGACTTAGAACACTTTGATAAAGCTTTTACAGATGAGCCAGTACAGCTTACCCCTGATGATCCGTATGTACAAGACTGTATATTTGAAAAATTTTCCCATAGACTTTTGTTTGTGATTTGTTCAGGAATAAGACACATTGAATTTGGTTTTATGGGTTTACTTTTTCTTTATTTGAAAATATCCCTAAATATGAAAGGCATTTTTCAACAATATCAAAATTTGAGCTAATTTTTTGCATCTGCAGACATAGTTCAAATAGCATATGCACACACAAATGACCTAATAGAAGATACTGGTTTCTTTTATAATAAAAACTTCATCTCTTCACCCTTTTCTTACAACTGGTATATCTAATTACTACTAATATTTTACTATATTTGATTTTGGAAAAAAATTAGCTTAAATTTCGCACAGTGGAAAAATAGTTATTAGAAGCTATTTAAAAAGTTGTAAGCTTTTTAAGTTGAAGTCATTCACTTGAATCAACTTGATTTTGGTCCCTTTTAAAATACCTTAGATTAAGCAGTGTTCTTCTAGCAAAAAAAAACATTGTTTAAACAACTATCAATTTTTGGCATTGAAGTCAAGTTCACTCAACTTGATTTAGATAAAAGCATAACTATTAAAATACTGTAGTTCTGGACTTCTTCCTTAAAAATTTGACCTCAACAAATGTTATATTCTTTTACAAACAGCTTTTATTTTGCTTATATTGTAAAAGAATTTATTTAAAAATTACTCTCAATGAGAAATAATTGCTATGTGAACATTTAATGCCAAAAATGAGACTAAAAAGTCACGTTTTCAATGCATTAAGGATGTACTTGGGTCATTTTTGTCAGATGTTTGGACTCCTTGGTTTTTTTCCAACAATACGGGGTAAAATACTTTGCCCCATAACACCCATTTTTCTTTTCATATAAGACTTCAATAGCTCATAAAAGGTCATTTACAAGAATTTAAGCAGATTCTAGATTTCTTTTCTTTCGATTTGAGACCCGAATAATACCAATGCAAATATGAGGTAAAATTCTGAGTCAGCCTTTTCCTACCATTTTTTAAAAATTAGATATCTTGAAAAGGAGCTCCATAACTTATCAATATTTTTAGTTTATTTTTTTCCTTAACTTAATGCTCTTATGACTTATAGTATCAATTTTAGGTTTTTTTCATTTCACCTTAGTACATCATAATAGTTTAATCTATAATCGTTTATCATTGAAAGTTATGAATAGGGTGCCAGTTTTGTAAAAAAAATTTCAATAATCAAAGCATGAATTATAATTCTTAAGAAAATGTATTTTTTGTTCACCAACTATGTACAAAAGAATGTAAGAAGATACCAAGGATGTGATCAAAATGACAAAAAACAGTTCACAAAAAACTGACAGAAAACTAGATTGACCTTCATAAACCCAGCCAAGAACAGAGATGTACATTTTGTACTTAGATGTTCCAAAAGAGTAAGCTGTTCCTCAGTACAAAGTCTGAAAATTTATTTTTTTCAGAACAAGCATATGAACCATTAAAATTTAATTTCAGAATTAAAGTTCCATCAGTTATTTATTTATCATGGACTTAATTGTATACTCTGTTGTTTGTTTACAGGAAATTGATATCAGAGATAGACCAGACAGAATTTGATGGATTTGAATATGTCAATCCACTGCTGATGTCACTAGAGGAAACAGTATAACAGGGAAGCAGTGTAAAGACAGGGAAACAGTAAACTGATTGTGATATCAAATTTCCGGTTGTGCTTCCTATTATTTAAAATTTATGTAAACACTAGTGTGAAGAGTTCTGTTATTCAATGGACAGTTTTAGAAGTAATTTATGTAATATTTTGTGTTTAATCTGAGATGGTCTATGGGTAGATAATACAGTATAAACAAGTGGGTTAGTGAATCACAGTGAAACAGGGTGAATGCTGGTGATTAGGGTGATTACACTCTCATTTACAAATCTGACATTTTAAACCTGTGGAAATACCAGAGACATGTTTCAGAACAGAACACCCACAATCAACAGTATTCACCACCAAAAGTGATTTTTAAGTGAATCTCCCAAGTACAATGAGAGACTAATAAAATTAAAACACAGAATTACAAAAATTATTTTTATTCTTAAGTCAAGTATATTTGAGATATACCGGTACCTGAATTCATACAAGCACTTAACGACTGTGTAAACAAAATATCTTGTGACATAGTTTGTACTGATCAGGTTTGCTCAATATTTTTTCAAAATCTCTGTTCATTTAAAGTTTACAGCACATAGTATTAGAGACATTGTTTTTTTATATGAATTTAATAAGCAGTAAATCAACTGTCATATGACTGCACAGTTTTATTGAGAGTTTATGGTATGGGGCCATTAGTTGATTTTTTATGCCACTTGGAGCACAAATTATGGATTTTCATTATTTAATTCTTTTGAAATATAAACATAAATAATTAAAGTTAAATGAATAAGAAGTATAATAAATTAGATCATTTGTTTAAAAATAGTACTGCATTTGTGCTCATTTTGGTTTAAATACTTTGTTTAAATCAGTAAAAATAAGCTATATGATGTAGAAATGAAAAAAGTGGAGATATCTCAAATCTCAAATATTGAAAATATTTGATGATGATATATTTGTATAAAATGTGTAAAAAGATTTATTTATGACTTGGACCAATGAATATTTTTAGTTGACTTATTTTAGATTAATGACATTTTTAGGTCAAAATAGATGTAGATGTCCTGTTAGTGCAGTTTTTGAAGCAATTTCAGTATATTAAATATTATTTGCAGCTATTAGATAAAGTGGTAAGAGAAAGCATGCAGTCTTTGAAGCAATTTCAGTGTATTAAATACTATTTGCAGCTATTAGATAAAGTGATACGAGAAAGCATCATAAATTGTACAGATCTTTTTACTTTTTTTCTATTTCAGTATTCTGTATTCATACATATCACTTTTTTTATACATGTATTACAATAATGTGGTATTTGATTGTATAACTAACAATGTAATGATAATAGGTTACTGTTGACAGGGAAATTTTTGTTGCAGTCTTTTTATTTCTGGCTAATTTTGTGCTCCAAGTTAATACACAAAAATAGAACTACTGTGAATATTACACAGAAACTGGTTTAATAGGACAAAGACTGTATATGTATAAATACCACCTGGAAATTATGAATTCAAAAGACATGACATATTTTAATTCATAATCGAGAATATAAGATGGCACAAAAATTTCCCAGTTTACATTATAAAAATTTGAATGCATTTTTGGAAACAACAGTGAAATAATATATAGAAAATGTATTTATTGTGTGATAAAAAAGCTTTTTTGTTGGAAATGAAAGCTAAATACTCTAACTTCATATTGAAGTCATTACAACATATGCTCATTTTTACAAGCTTACTTTTGTCTGCTTCAAAGCACCAGCAAAGGATCTGAAACTATATTTTCAAAAAAAAACAAAAATCATTAATTAGTTACTGGTAAATGATTTAGTTTTTGTCAAGGGATGCTAAAAATAATTTTGATGTAGTATTTTCATAAAAAAAAAGACTTTATAAAATACCCCATCGTTTAAGAATCTAACATCTATTGGATAATATTGTGAGGAGTGTACACCAATATGTTTTCACTGGAACAACAATAACACTATCTCCATTTTGTATACGAACAATATAATCACTCAAAAACAATAGACATTTATGTAAGTTGGTGTATTTATGGCCACTGCACTATGTCAGACAAATATATTTGGTTTGGACTTCCAACAAGCAGATGTACAATAATAAAGTTAGTTATTGATTTCATTATTTCATTGGTAAAATTGATTGCTGCAAAATATGGGGATGAAGCAGTGAATTTTTTTTTTTATAGTATTTGGAAAATGGTTTCTATAGCCAAAATATATCTATTAACATACAATTTATTTATATGATAACAGAAAACGAAAGTGTATCAATTAATCTAGGCCAAGCAAATACAGAGTTGGGATTTACTTATAAAAATATTTAAATGTAAAAATTATTAAATGGTTATTTTGAAATAAGATATGGACACTAACATCTTTATATGATAAAAAATGTATTGCTAGTATGATATAAAACAATTAATCCTGAAAAACTTATTGAAGAAGACAATACGACATAATCTAGTCTATGTACAAATAGTGTATTATAAGAATCTCTTTCTAAAATAAACATCATAATTTTGTATTTCTGATTTTTATCATGAACTTGTCTTAATATGTAATACTGGTTTGTCATACCCTCACTAAATTGCAATCTCGTTGTCCGTCTGCTAGTCCATCTGTCCAACAAATATTTACGTCAAACTTTTCTCAGAAACGGTTTAAAAAAATTCCATTATATTTGATCAGAAGCTTGACAGAGATGGCAACATGTGTGCACTTTTTAAATCTGTCAGATACCTACTTCCTGTTTGCATATCCTTTGAATTTTTCAATATGTTAAATGAACTGACAATATTTTGTCACATATATCTCGATTTCTACTTAACAGATTGATTATAATAAGGAGATGTGGTATGATTGCCAAGGAGACTACTATCCCAGACCAAAAGAAGTAGATGCTAGGAAGTATAGGTCATTGTACAGCCTTCAACAATGAGCAAGAATGACTATGTATTTTTGGTCATCGGCGTAACAGTAATGACTGGAAATGTGTGTGTGCTTTCAAGCTGTCAGATACTTCCTGTTATTCTGTACTTTGAATTATGAGTGGGAGTATATATGCTTAGCACTACAACATGGGCAGTCTTGTTATAAATGAAATTACTGTGGATTCATAATTTTTATACGACCGCAAAAAATTTGTATGATGTCATCGTCGTCGTCCGAAGGCACATTGGTTTCCAGACAATAACTTTAGTTTAAGTGAATGGATCTCTATGAAATTTTTTAAGAAGGTTCAATACCACAAAAGGAAGGTTGGGATTGATTTTGGGGATGATGGTCCCAACCATTTAGGAATAAGGGGCCCAAAACAAGCATTTTTCTAGTTTCAGGATAATAACTTGTGTATAAGTATTTTGATTGCTCTGAAATTGTACCACAATGTTTAATACCACAAGTAGAAGGTTGTGATTCATCTTAGGGGTTATGGGGCCAACAATTTAGGAATTAAGGGCCAAAAAGGGGTCAAAAACAAGCATTTTCCTAGTTTCCAGACAATAACTTGCGTGTAAGTGTATGGATCTCTCTGACATTGTAACACAAGGTTCAATATCACAAAGGGAAGTCTGGGATTGAGTTTGGGGTTAATTGCTCAAAACATGTAGGAATGAGGGGCCAAAAAGGGCCAAAAACGCATTTTTCTAGTTTCCAGACAATAACTTGTGTTTAAGTGTATGGATCTCTCTGAAATTGTACTACAAGGTTCCATACTACAAAGGAAAGGCTGGGATTGAGTAATGGGGTTATTGTTCCAAGGAGGGTTTCAAAAAGTTGGGGGGGGGGGGGATTTATTTTCCAATATTTTTAGGGGATTCAAATTTTTTTTTCAAAATTTTTCATATTTCGAATTTTTGAAAATTTTCAAGAAGAAATCTTCCATTGCACAGTATTGCGCAATAGATTTGAAAGATCTTTGACCACATTTATTTTGTGTCAGAAACCTATATTATGTCAAAAATTTTATCACAATCCAAATTCAGACAGTAGCAAGCTTGAATATTGTGTCCAAATTTGCCCCAACTGTTCAGGGTTCGACCTCTGCGGTCGTATCAGGCTGCGCTCAGCGAAGCATTTTATTGTAGATTTATTTGGTATAGGTGAACCATGAACTTAACAAAATACCTATTTCCCAAAGAAATGTATGCAGAATTTGTAAAAGCCTTGAAATCAAGTATCCACAAAAATACAACTTCCGCAATCCACAAAAACTGGTTCCCTCATAGTTAAATAAATCCACAGACTTCACTTTGAAAAGGGAAAGGGTTGGATGTACCATCAAATGTTATGAAACTTATACACCATGCTAATTACCACCAAACACAGATCAAGTTTGAATTTGGCTGGCATCACTTTTACCTTTCTAGAGTTATGTTCCTTTACAAATAAAAAAAATGGCTAATTTGCAGTTTCTGCACTATTAATTAAGTTTGCCTCAACCAAATGTTATAAAACTTATACACAATGCTTATTACAACCAAACACAGAACAATTTTGAATTTGGTTGGCATCACATTTGGTGTTCTTGAGTTATGTCCTTTTGTAAATTGAAAAATTGCAGAATGTGTCTTATATTTACAAACGGGCATCCGTGTTCCATGGTCACATTATTTTTTTATTTAGTAAAGATCCACACTCGTGAAAATGGTATAATGAGAGTATGCTCTGACATATTGTACTAATGAGAGTATGCTCTGACATATTGTACTAATGAAGATACTTAATGTACCATTAATAGGCTAGAACAAATGGAAGGTTACATAGATGAATCTGAGGTCAACAAAAAAAGCCTTAATGATTTCTTTTGTCATAGATTCTAGTAATTTGTCTTGTCTTCAATAAAAGTTGCCAGATTTTATTACAGAATGCCAGATATAGGGATGCAGATCTGGAGGCAGAGACAACAGTTTTAACTATTTCATACCTTGTATATTAAAGATGCCTTAAGTTACAAAGTATCTGTCTGTCATATGTCCATTGTCATTTTTACGGTTCAGCTACTACTTAAAAACTATACAGTTGTCTGTCTCATGAATTCCTCACTTATTATGACTAAAAGGTTAACTATATTTGTAAATAAATTGTAATATGTAGTCCTTGCTAGGTCTACATGTCTTGTCGGGCAGGTTTCATCTGACATTACTGACATATTACTGGTTCATTGGTCAATGTTAAGTTTTGTGGTTTGGTTCTTTTATCAGATAACAAAAGCAATTGTTCAACTATTTTTGGTTTTTAGAATGATTGCAAGTGTCCATCTGGCAGAGTTCATCTGACCTCATTTTCATGATTCATTGGTACATATTTGGTGTATCTAGCAGGGTTCATCTGACCTTGACCTCATTTTCGTGGTTCATTGATCGAAGGTTGCTTTTCGTGATAAGATCTGTTTCTAAGATAATTTAAGCAATCAATAAGTTAAATATATTTCCTTTTTAAGGAACTTGTAACAAACCTTAAAATAAGACTTTCAGCATCAATTCAATCTTGCTCAGTAAAGCAGTGGAAACTTGTCATGGGTTTAGGAAGAAGAGACATAGAGCCAAAGACATCAACTTTTTAAAATGTTTTCCATATTTTATTCATACCATTAAGAATAACTGGCTGAGGTAACTCTGTCACATGTTCTTTTTTTAAGGTTCTGTTTCAGGGTAAAAAAATTACAAAGTATAATAGGTCCTATTGTTACTTGCTTTATAGCTTCATTTAGCCATACTTTATGCCTCTTGTTTGAGACAGAGACATGTACATATAGTGTATAGTATATGTCTCTGTTTGAGAGTACAAACAACATGGTGCACTTCTATTTTTTACGAAATGACAGCAAGTGACCATATCATTTTTAGCCAAAACATCATTAAATCCTATGCAGCACAACAAGAAATTCTGGAAAGATGGAACTCTTCAAACATACAAATTTAACATGACAACTGTGGACATATTCATATATATTATTAATCAAATATACTTCGTCCTCAGTCAAAATGCTTCTCTTAGGTCAATATAACCTCGTATCGACCTCATACAAAGGCTGTAATTGTATACTATCGTCTGCTTACAGTAGATACAACAGTTTTACCACTGACTTTACTCTGGACATGTGTTCTTAACAACCTGCATGCTTGCTAAACCACGTTCTGCTGATGACATTTTTATTTACCACGGTTACTAAATAATTAAGAAATATGTGCATTTGCCACACTCTACTTAGGGATATTTTTCACAGTTTGTTGAGTTTACATTTTTCATATCATGGCCTGCAGAGGAAAAAAAAGGTCTTTACCACTTTCTGTTGAAATCACATATATCTGCCAAGGAGACATGTGTCTTTACTGCGGTTTGTAGAGTAAGCACCTTTTTATACGACCGCAAAAAAATTTTGCGGTCGGGTATGACATTGGCGTCGTCGTTGGCGGTGGCCGAAGACAAATTGGTTTTCGCACTCTAACTTTAGTTTAAGTGAATGGATCTCTATGAAATTTTACGATAAGGGTTCAATACCACAAAAGGAAGGTTGGGATTGATTTTGGGGGTTATGTACCAACAGTCAAGGAATTAGGGGCCAAAAATAAGCATGACTTCCAGACATAACTTGTGTGTTAGTGTATGGATCTCTCTGACATTGTACCACAAGTTTCCATATCACAGAGGGATTGCTGGGATTGATTTTGTGGGTAATTGCCTCAAAATTTTAGGAATTAGGGGCCAAAAAAAGGGGAAAAAAACAAGCATTTTTCTAGTTTCAGGACAATAACTTGTGTGTAAGTGTATGTATCTTTCTGAAATTGTACTGCAAGGTTCCATATCACATAGAGAAAGCTGGAATTGAGTTTGGGGGTAGTTGCCCAAAACGTATAGGAATAGGGGGCCAAAAAGGGGCCAAAAAAAATCATTTTTCTAGTTTCCAGACAATAACTTTTGTTCAAGTGTATGGATCTCTCTGAAATTGTACTGCAAGGTACCATACCACAAATGGAAGGCTGGGATTGATTTTGGGGGTAATTGCCCCAAAATTTTAGGAATTAGGGGCCAAAAAGGGGCAAAAAACAAGCATTTTTTTCTAGTTTCAGGACAATAACTTGTGTGTAAGTGTATGGATCTTTATGAAATTGTACTACAAGGTTCCATATCACAAAGGGAAAGCTGGGTTTGAGTTTGGGGGTAATTGCCCAAAATGTTTAGGAATTTGGGGCCAAAAAGGGGCCTAAAAACAAGCATTTTTCTAGTTTCCAGACAATAACTTGTTTTCAAGTGTATGGATCTCTCTGAAATTGTACTGCAAGGTACCATACCACAAAGGGAAGGCTGGGATTGAGTTTGGGGGTGATGAATCATAAGGGGGTTCAAAAAATTTGGGGGAGGGATTTTTTTTTCCTTTTTTTCCTTTTTTTTCTTTAAAATTTTCCATTTTAAATTGATTATTTTTTATTTATATATAAAAGCAAATAATAATGATATGGTTTGAATAGGTAAATTAAAAAATTTTAAGTTCTTAGACCACATTCATTCTGTGTCAGAAACCTA